ACACTTCACAAATGTTTCATAAGGGTCAAAACGGACAACTGGCAATTTGTGAGCTGGTCATGTTGTCAGTGTGCGACACAAGTGGTCCAACTTGGGTGAGTCACCGAGGACCAGGCCTGAAAAAACAGAGCTTGTCGCCCCCACTGTGGGTGTGAGCATATGGTTTTGCACCATGTTTGATTTTTTTTGCATTTGGTCGTTGTGCCAAGTCAAGCAGAGGAGCCACAACCAAACCATGTCGACGTGATGTTGCGGCAAGTTGTTTCGCCAGGAGTCGGGTTTCCCTGCGTTTGCGCGTCCAGCCGAAGTCATTGTTGGTGTATCCATGCAATAGGAATGGTTCACAGGAAACGAAGGCATCAAACTGTTTGCTGGCGTGTCCATATTTGTCAAGCACCCCTGGCATTGTCGCAGCCAAGGGGCCAGCTCCTCCCTGCCAACGTCACATGCACGATCCCGACTCGGAGAGTTATTTTTTCTCCGCCTCTTCGCGCGCAGCGGCCCGCTGTTGCTCCTCGCGGCTTGGGTGCGGAGGTGGGCTGGCGCCCTCTGTTGCTCCTCAGTGACCTCCCTATGACCTTTGCGAGTCACTGGCCTCGAGTGCGCCTGGCGGCCTTCTCGAATGAAAGGTTGTTGGTGGAAAAATTCCACAAAGTTCCATGCTGGCCACGTTCAAACACAGTCCAGCTTGCCATCCCATCCATGGAGTGAGTTCTGCCTTGCCTCACTCCGTTCCCAGGCAAATATCCATGTAGATTTTGTCGGTATTGCCCATCACCAAGTCCCCAAGGCCTCGAATTCATATAGGCTAGGCGTTGCACCTTTCTGGATCTGGCCATCCGGGAACTTGATGATGAAGCGTGCTCTACCTCATCCAGGTCGTCTTCCGTGTAGTTCTGTTGGTTTCTTCTCTCAGTGGACTCTTCGCCATCGAATTCATGGCCATCTGTCCTGGGTGCTCGTGGGGCTTCATCATGCCAACCTGTTGAAAGGCTTCATAGGCTAACGCGGCCAGCTCCACAAGCCACGACGCCCAAACCGCCGCGACCGCCATTTCGGAGCCACCGTATGCAGCAACTTTCATGCATGATTGGTAGAATATCACGGGGGAAAAAAAAACAATGAAATTATCAACTTAAATGCTGTGGTGCCAGCAGCAGGTGCAAGGACATGCGTGGCCACGCGGTGCACAAAACAGAGCCGGCGCTCTATGGTGTGTGGGGCCCATTTGTTGACAACTGCATGAACGTCTTCCTAAAAAAACAAACAAAAATCATACGACGAACGTTTCAAGGTTTTGGGCCATGGAGCCATGGATGGAACTTGAGGCCCGTGGTTTGGATTTGGCTTTTGTCCGCCCGAAACAAGAACGTGTGTGCAACTTGCCCGAAAGACCATGTGCAAGGCAGGGGCATGAGAAAAAACATGGCAGATGCCACTTGGGTCGAATAGTGAAACGCCAGCAGGTGAAGACCTTTATGATGCTGACAATGTTGGGCATGTTGAAAGGCATGGAAACATGGCCGGGCGACGACTGCGAGCACTTTCTGAGGGTCCTCGCGGCCGGTCGCCCCCCGAGCGATCTGGCCTCCGAGCTGCCCTGCACCACCGCTGGGGGTCGTGTGCCGCCCTTCCCTGCCATTTTTGCGGACCTCACACAGGACGTGCGGCTGCTCCCTTGTACATAGCTCCCCGCCGTCTCACATCTCGTTCAACGGTGCTGCTGAGGAAAATATGGCCAGGGAATACGACGAAGTCCGGATGCCAACGGAGCGCCAGCCGCTCAAAACACGAGTTTTGTTGGAACAGTCACGAGTTGCTTGCTTAGTCTTGGTCAACTTCTCAAGAGTGACTGGGCATTGATCCATAAGCAGCCCAGTGCGCACATCAGCACAAACATGTTTAACATTGTTCCTGCCACTCGCACTTTTGAGTAACATGTTGCTTGATGTGTTGAAGATAGCGGTGTGGACAAACATTTTTCATTTGAAGAACGGCTGTGTGCTAAATTCATCCTGTTCTGTGGGACCTTCAAGTCGTCGGTATTGTTATACTTGAAGGTTCCCGTGTAAAGTGCACCTCATATGTATAGGCACAGTTCATGAACATTGTACTTTTGGCTCAAGTGATGAAAAGGTCCGCAGCCGCTGCCACTTCGCGGTCACGACGGATCTTAACTTTGACTTGTTGCTTGGTGTTGCCACTTTCGGTGGCTGCACCGTAGGAATCACTGCCAAGGACAACAAACCCGCTCGAAAGCCGTGGAGGTTTGTCACGAATAATAAGAGGTTAGTTGATTCTTTGGGAATGTTGAAGTGCACGCATGACAAGCATGCACCCCTTGAAGGGAAGTACGCTCGAAACTCAGCTTTCTACCCAGAGCCTCTTTGTCAGATCATGTTGCATGCTTTGTTTCCACATGTCGTCAATGCTCATGTGTTTTGCATGCCGTGCACACCTCGCGTGAATCATTCACATCGGCAGCATGTTGTCAAAGGGATGCCATGTGTTCCCATTGATGTCCTCATGCATGAGAGTGGATGTAAGGAGTTTGTAACACCAGCATTCGTTCATCGTCTGTTAGAGCGTGCTGAATGATTAAAAGCGAGAAAGATGGTTTGGTTTTGGAAGGGACTTGGATTGAAGATGAGATTAGGTCAAAGGCAGACGTGAGCAGGGAATTTCCCAATGAAACACTGCATTTCGGAGCCCTAATGGTGATAGTTAGCATAAAGGGATATGAAAAGAACCCAGCTGACTGGAAGATCAAGGCTCGGATTGTTTTCCGAGGTGACGCAGTCAAGGATCAGGGGGGCTTGAGCGCCATCTTCCAAGATCTTGCTGCTTCCGCTCCGAGTTCAATTGCAGCATTGAACACAGTGATAGCCTTTTCAATGATCAAGGGAAACACTCGTTCAACATCTGATTGCGTCCGGGCCTATATTCAGTCCGCACTCGGCACGAAGCATCGAACATTTGTGATGCTACCGCCTGAGCTTGTGCCGGAATCCAAGAAGCACATCCACATGCCTTGCGCGCAGCTGTACAAGAGCCTTTATGGCCATCCAGAGTCGTCGGCGCACTGGCAGGCCCACCTTTCCAAAATCTTGCAGGAAAAACTCAACGGTGTCGAGTTCAGTGAGATGCCCTCGGTTTTTCGATTCGGTCGTTCTCTAGTGATGAGCGTCTATGTAGACGACCTCACACTCTCAGGAGTAGCCTCCGAACATGAAGGATTCTGGAAAACCCTCAAGCAGTACATAAATTTAGACCCACCGTCAGAATATGGAAGAGTCTTAGGACGAAACCATAGGCTTGTGTGGTTTCAAGGGGGCAAAGCAGTGGCCTTTGAATCATCTGACTTCGCAAAACAGTGCGTCGAACTGTATGAAGAGCTGGCGAAAACGCCGGTGAAGGCCTATTCCTCGCCCTCATTGGACGATGGAGCCCTGATCCCTGCTGATGACGAGATCAAGGGACAGCTCTCGCCACATTCGGCCAAATTAATTATGAAGTTGATGTGGCTCTGTCGCATTAGCAGGCCAGATGTCACATTTGCTGTCACTCTGTTGGCGAAACGCATTACGGTGTGGTCGGCCAACGACGACAAAAGAGTCGCAAGACTCATTGGGTACTTGCAAAAGACCCATGAATACTCCCCGATAATGTGCATTCGTGATCCGCCAGAGCAGTTGAACTTGTCTCTGTATTGCGATGCCGATTTCGGCGGTGACATCAAATCCATGCGATCAACCTCTGGATTCATCCTTGCGGTTTCAGGTCCCTCCAGCTTTGCACCAGTGAGTTGGGGTTCGAAGAGGCAAAGCGTGGTTGCGACGTCTACCACGGAGAGCGAGTTCGTCTCGCTTTCCAGTGCCTTATTCTCCGAGGCGATCCCTACCTTGGAGGTATGGCAGGGGTTGATCCCCGGAATGACCCTGAAGGTTTTCGAAGACAATACGGCCGTGGTCTCGTAAGCCTGTTAGGTTAAGCTTGCAGTCTTTCGATAGGAATTGTCAGGTCACAGACGGTTCAATCAATGAAGCGACTGTCTCAGACCTGGAATACTAGCTGTACATATGTTCATCTCACTGTGAGGGGGGACTTGAAGGTTCCCGTGTAAAGTGCACCTCATATGTATAGGCACAGTTCATGAACATTGTACTTTTGGCTCAAGTGATGAGAAGGTCCGCAGCCGCTGCCACTTCGCGGTCACGACGGATCTTAACTTTGACTTGTTGCTTGGTGTTGTTTGTGTTGGTGTTCCGTTTTTCAACGGTTCAAGTGTTATTCGTTTGATGTCCTTTATTGCTGGCCTTTCGTGACGGCCATGCAAAAAGTGAATTCAGAGCCCAGATTCCTCAAACACTGCATCTTCCATAAGCACGCGGCACATGGCCCTAGGCCGCGCACAGTGTGAAGACCCTTCGTTTGAGAACGTAACTAAGCACAACCGAAGGTCCAGTAGACAGCTTGTCAACAGTCGAATCAGGCAGGGTACATGTTTACAGAAACCTTGTAGGATTTTCATTGGCCGCTGAACGGACGAATCGCCAGCCGACCCTGCCATCCGGTCTGCGTTTCCGTTTTGCAAGCCTTATCAGGTAATTGTGCAAGGTTTTGGTGAGTCGCTTGAATTGTTTCTGGGATTTTTGCATTCATGCATGAACCAGAATGGTATTTGTGAGCAGCTGGCTTTCCATTTTTTTCTTGTGTGCCAGGGGTGCGGGGTTGAGAAAAATGTTGGAATCTAAGTCAAGGAGACCAATCTTCATGCCCATCAGTACAGGAACTGGATGACATTGTAAAGTGCTAGCTGGCAATCAGAGAGCCGATTTGGTTTCCATGTCCAGGTTTCAACCTGGTAAAGGTTGTGAACAGCTGGCTTGTAACTCCTAATTTGGATCGATGCGAGCAGGCTAAGTCACTGGCGCAATGGACAAAGCGAAACTGAAAACCATTTTTCACGTTCTTTGGATCAAACTCCCTTATTGTTTTGGAGCATTGGTTTGCTGGCGACAGCTCCTCCCAGCAGGGCCACTTGGCATTGAATTTTATTGACTGCGCTCAACTCCACCATGTTTTTTTGCAACGTTTCTGTTGAGGACAAATTCGTGTTGGCACCTGCAGGTGTTTGCGGAGTGTTTGCCAAGTGCATTAGTTTTGGGCATTGCTTGTTTCAAGCGCATTGGAGTCATCCTCCGCATGTGTCACCGGGTGTTGTTCCACCGAGGTTCGAAGCATGGCACTCCCAACACCGCCACGAACTCAAGATCGAAGGGGGACGCATTCTGGAACCTTGTATTGTCCTGAGGATTCTGGAGGATTTGGAGTGGGCGTGGGAGGAGCTGGCTGCCTCTACCGAAACGATGATGCGGATGCGGGAGGCGCAAATTCGGTGGACAGTTGCTTGCGGTTTCCAACACGTTGTAGTTCTTTTGCGTGCGCTTGCTGGCCAAGCGCGAGTCAAATTTACGTGCACTACATTCGGCTGCCAGCAGAGAATTTGTGTGGATGCGTCGATGCAGGAAGATCGCAAATGCTTTGAAAGTCAAGGCCCTGTCGCCAACAGAGTTTGTCCCAATTTGTTATTCAACTAGGCACCAGAATTCACAGCTTAGTCACTTGTCGATTGTGGTTCCGGATTCTCAATTTCTATGGGATTTGTGGCCCACAATGTTTTGGAGGTTGTGCAGTGGTCGAAACATAACCCTGTGCTGTTCTGCAACCTGGGTGCGTCGTTCGGTTGCGTGTGTTCTTCGGGATTGTCTTGGATTGGTGTGTGTATATATATATATATATATCTATATTTTTTTTGTGTGTGTGTGACTTTTCAAGGATCCAAGTCATTGGACAAGACCGCGCGCCTTGGGGCTGTACGTGCGGTGGCACAGACAGCACTGAAGATTGGCAATGAACAAAGCACCCCGAGGCCCAGGCCTTGAACAATTCTGGGCCAGGTGGTCAGGGTTTGAGGATATCTCATCGCCAGGTAGGATCGACCGGCTTTGGTTCGAATTGATGTTCATCTCCCGCTTCTTCTTTGGTTCGCGCGTGTTCGAACCACGCGTCACGCTGAGGCTGCTTGGCGGTGCTGCTGCTGAGTTTTGGAACTTCAACTGACGGTCCCGTGGATCTGGATGCCAGGGCGCAACCTGTTCGGACTCACATTGGTCTAAGGCGCCCCGCCTGAGGTTGCTCGGGCCGGCTTTGATGGAGAGAGTCGATGACTTGTGCTAGGCGGTTCTACTGCTGGATCGCTACAGCTCATATTGCGCGAGCCTTCCGAAGCTGCCACTGACCTGTGCCGCGATTGCAAGGCTGGGGCAGCACCCTTGGTTGATTCTGGCGAATCCCTTCCGGCTTGGGAAACCCTGAGTCGAATGGGTGGACCAAGTCGACCCTGTCCAAGGAACATGAATGGGGCTGCGGTCAGGTTGTGTCCTTTCTCGCCTCACCATGTCCCTTTCGGGATTGTATGTTCAGAGTCCCAGTTGGTCAAGGCACCGCATTCGTGAAAACTGCATCTCTTTGTCAGTCGAACGTGGGTCAAGTGTGTCATTCATTCGTGTGAGTCGAACGTGAGTCTAGTATATCCACCTTGCACCAGCAAACGGGTGGCGCTCTCCGCCGCTGACACCCAAACCCGAGAACGAACTGTTTCAATTTGACGAGTCTCCGGAGGGTAGGATTTTCCTGGAATGGAGATAGCACGGGACCGGCATTGAGTGGATGTTTTCAAGACGCCATTGACCTGCCCATGCACCATACTGTTGCTGATTGATTGCATCACTCAGCCTGTGCTCTCCAGAATCGTGGCGAAGTTGGAAATCGGAGGACACTACGAAAGAGACCTCTTCCTGACTGAGCTGCTGGGCAGCAGCCACCGTGCCGCCGCCGGCCCCCCGCCGAGCGACCCAATGCCACGCACTTCAGCCACCGAGGAATTCAGGAGGATGGATGGTGGCACAGGTGGGGGGGTGTTTGCGCAGAGATTCACCGTGGTTCATTGCGTGCCATCTTCACAACTGCTTCAATCTTCACATGATGAACATGGTGCTTCACATGGTGTTTTTTCATATGCTCCGCCCCAAAGCGGGGAGGACTTTGCCACGTGGGTGGGCATGACCTTCGGTTGCACCACCGAGGCCGGAAGTCCGGGGGGGGAAAAACGGCCGCAAAGGGGGCTGCGAGAGGCAGAGAACCTGGGGAACCTCAATGTGATGCCACAAAACTCAGGGTTTCAGGACATCCATAGAACGAAAAGAGAAGGAAAAAATACGTGAAATCTATAGAACCATGTCACACAGGCTGGCTTTGATGATGTTTGATTCATGACTTGGGCCCCAACTGCGGGCTCATTCGCACCTCTGATGCGAGGAGATCACCGACTCGACTTTGAGCAAGCATGAATTTGAGGTTCTGAAGGCTTTGGACTGGAAGGCCGGGTCGTCAGGTTTGCAACACGTGACCTTGACACGTCTTCGGTCACGTCAGTGATACTCTGGATTTGTAGGATGCTGTGTTTAAACAATACGCTCTAAAAAGCCACACCGTATATGTTTCCGCGAGCAGAGGCGAACCCCAAAGTTTGACTGATCTTGAGTAACCTTTGGTGGATTGTGTTCGCAGGTTGATTGGCCTTGCCTGGAACAGTGGCTTCACACGATCTCAGCGCGCTTTAGCGTGCTCACAGGCACACAATCAGATCTCAAGAGGCAACAGTGAGACAGAAAGACAGACAATTCACAGTATCTCAGATAAACAGTATCAAAGGTTGCCGGAGATAAGAGAAGAAAATGAGAGAGAGAGAGAGAGAGAGAAGAAGCAGAAGCAGAAGGAGCCCAGAACAACGAGCAGCTTCAGATGATGATGCGATCGATTCTGATTTCGGCGCGCGCAACTGGTCCAGACACCCCAGGGGTTCCAGTGAATCAGGAGCTGGTTGGGTCATGTTCCATGCTTCAGATGTTTGTGCAAAAGACTTCGGAATAAAGTATCCTTCAGCTGTTTCGCCTGGGGAATTGAGGCGATTCTTACGACTGAAGCTCCGCACAAACTCAGCAGCTCAGCCGGAAGCAGGAAAAACCACGACGTGTTTGGGCGTGGTGTCCCTCGTTCATCTCCACGGACTGTTCGAGGCCATGGAGATTTGGCCATGGGCCTCTTTGGCGCGCACGTGCTGCTGGAGCCCGGCTCCTGGACTTCGCCCGGTCGCGCCACGGCCCGCCGACTGCACCGGTGCCGGAGAAAGCGGACGCCCACGAACCGAAGGGAACGGATGAGCCGACCGTTGAGGCCGCTGATGGGGACGCCAGATGAGCTGGGGGAAGCTGGCAGAAGTGCAGCGACCTGTCCCGATCGCGACTCAGAGAAAACGACGACTGAGGACAGTCGCAGAAGAGAAATCCTAAGTGCAGACGAGACAATGAATTGATGCGTTTCCTGTTTTGCCCTGCCCAAGTTGCTGAATTGGCGCGAGCTTCGAAACCCCACGCATCCTCTCCAGGAACATGTTGAAGCCCTGTTTGACTTTGCAAGCGCAACCTGGTCATTTTGTCAGGAATGGTCGAAGTTGTTCATAGCTCTCAAGCCTGGAGGAAGCGAGATTAAGCTGCAAGTCACTTCGACCCTCGCGTCTAACTACAACTCTTGTGGCACAACCTGATGACTGCAGGAAATGCCGATCGTGCATCCAGTGAGGCGTCATCCCGGCTCCTTGGCTAATTCTGTGGGGTCCTTTGGTCGTCATTTTTTCCTTATTTGCTTGGAAAAACATTTGGTCTGCGGGCATTTTGATCTTGTGTCGGAAGAACATCACGTGAGCGTGGACCAGAAGAAGAACAGGCAAGTCAAACGTCAAGCGGAGAAAACATCCAATATTTGACTGCCGCGCAGGAATTTTCATGAAATTTCCAATGGTTTTTCATTGACCAAGGCTTCTTGATACATTGCGTTTGACCGTCCAGGGCCCAGATTCTTTGCTTCAATTCTACCTGATGCCAGATGCAACAAATGAGGCACAGCAAGATGAGAAGGAGATTGGCAAGAACGTGCAACATGCTGTGATGGCCTTGGATTTGAAATCAGAACTCAATGTTGCCAGAGAAGAGAGAGAGAGAGAGCACAAACCGGGCCCTGTGTCAAGGTTCGAGAATTGCAAGATGCTTTTCGTTCGATGTCAATGGTCACATGAAGGCAGGGATGATTTCACAACATCAAAGTAATTGAAGCGAAAAGCAACATTATCAAGACAAGTGGTGAAGAACATGGGGCACCGTGGGTGCCTCACTGGTCACCTGCAGGACAGATCGGATGGTTGGGGCACCAGGCAAAGTGCCTCACTGGTCACCTGCAGGACAGATCGGATAGTTGGGGCACCAGGCACCAGGCAAAGTGCCTCACCGGTTGCCTGCAGGACAGATCGGATAGTGGGGGCACTTGCATGGCCGGTCACCTGCAGGACAGATCGGATAGTGGGGGCACCATGCCCCACCGGTCTGCAACATGAGTGCAGTCGATTTTTGCTCGATTGCCTTTCGCTGCCAATTCATTTAATATCTTGTCAAGCTGCTGGTTGAGAACATTCAGCAAGGCAGCTGCTGACATGCGGACTTGCGGGGTATACGATCGTACATGTGATATACCTGGCTTTTGCCTTGTGGGTGAATCCCATTTCTTTGGATTAGCAATGAACACATATGTTCTTTTCCGGTTCAAGCCCAACTATACAGTGACTTGGCGCAAAAGCACCAGCACTGCAGCTCCCCGCAAGCACACGCCCCATGGCTGTCGTCCAGTCGTCCCTTCACACCGGTGGAAGGTGACTTCTTGGAAGGTCATTCTTATTTAGGCATGGTGAAAGGTTTGTGGGTATATCACATCCAAACGTCCAAACAAAGCTATCTATCCTTTATCAGCCTGAATGATTTTGCCGTTCGAGAAAGATGCAGTAGAACTGCTGCAAGAGTTTGACATACCCACGAACCACAACTTGTTGGCTGGCACTTGTGGCAAAGCACCACCATGACAGAACCTGAATTTGCAGCACCTGAACATGTCCTATCTTGACCAGTGCGGTTGCACATCACTTTCCCACAAAGTGCAGCATCTTCATTTTGTAAGTCATGCCAGTGTCTCGCTGGGCTGGCTCACTTCTATCGGTGTTTCTTCCTGGCAGGATCCTGGATTTGTGGCATGTGTCATTGATTGGCAGGGGAAAACTTACAGCGCATTCATTGTGGCTGCGCGCTGTTGTCACAGAGCTTTTCTCTTTTGGCAGACGCGCGGCAGCGCTGAACGGGGAGCAGTTCCGAAAGGTAGCCTCTAAAGCTTCCTTTTGCTTTAGCCAACATGTATTGTAACCAGGAATGGGTGATTTGCCTAGGAGTTTCCTCCTGTAAGGAAAGAGTCTTCATCATAGGGGCCTGGATCCAAATGCCCCCCACCTCATCGGTCGCCTTCATCACCGAGTCTCAGGAACGTACGTGCCACCTTCGGTTCACCCCTTCCTCCCAATAGAAGTAGAAGTTGTCCACTGTGTTCGTTATCATCCTCAAATCATCCCAATCATGCCAGGGAAAAAGGTCCAGCACCAGACTGGACCATGCATGGGCAAGTGCACCACGGCCATTTGTCATGTGGAAGACACCGGACAAAGATGTGGCAACATGGTTTTGAATCAATTCTGAAACCCGAATCTCCAAGAACCATGGACTATGCTTTGTCAACATTCTCCTTGCCCTTTGTGCAAGATCGAGTGGAACTGTTGTGACAGGACCATGAACGTTCGATCCACGACTTGCTTGGCCAGCACTTGTGGTACATAACGGCAAGTGCCTCCGATACAGGTCCATTTCGTCGTTTTCATTTGACGGATGGTGTGGGCACAAGACATTGAACGCTTGAAGTCTTTGCCCGGAAGTTTCAGCAGACAGAGTGATTGAAGAAGCAAAACGTGGAGTGCATTGTCCCAATCGTGATGGTGCATACTTTGGGCTTGTCCCTATACCTGTAACAGTCAGCAAACACTTATAAAAAGGCCTTTGCTAACCATCATCACCCGCTTTCACTGGTAATTTAATAGGATAAACAAATTATCACCCAAAACACGTGCCCGCACACCATAGAGAGCGCTAGCTCAGTCTGGGCACGCCAGCTCAGTCTGCACACCACAGAGAGCGCCATTTGCGTTTGGGCACACATGGGCCTGGACCTGAACATGCCAATTTCGGATAGAATTCCTGAGTACATGCCAGAAGGTGTGCCAGATAGAATGCCAGAAAAGATGTCAGAAGATATGCTCGGTACAATGTCAGAAAATACCCCAGAAGATATGCGAGTCAAAATGCCAGAAGACATGGCAGATAGAATTCCAGGAAGGATGTCAGAAGACATGCCAGCTAGAATGCCGGCATAGGTGCACTTAGAGTCGCCAAAACATGTTCAGAACAAGTGGCGGGTTTGATGGCAGAACAAATGTCGGAATACATGACAGAACGTATGGCAGAACACATGTCAGAGCCGAAGTCGGACCATATGATGACCGTATGCCAACACATGTCAGAGTGCATGGCAGTTTGGTGCGAGAGCACGTACGTGTCAGAAGCACATGCCAGAGTTCACGGCCGGACAAATGTCAGAATCAGAACAGATACTGTATCAACAAGGACGTCAGAACACATTGAAGTTCGGTGATGTGGTAGAACACGTGCAAGACCAATGCCAGAAAAAGTGTCGGAACATTTTGTCAATGCACATGTCGGGCAGCATGTGTCGGGATAGTCTGTCAGACCCATGTGGCCTGCCTTCTTCCAAGTTGCGTCTCGCACTTCAGTAGAAGATGTAGAAGTACAGTAATTAGCTTGTTTGTTCACTTCCATCGTTGTTGGTGTTTTCGCACACCAAGTTCGCCGCGTGCTAGCTCCGTGATGGGACATGCGGCGCCCAGCAGCACACCACCCAGCAGGTTCGGTTCTGACCGAGGTGTTGCCCCTTTTCACATCGACAAGCCATTCGACTCACCTCCATGCAATGGAGGTGAATGAGGAACAAAAGATGTTGGGCAACACCAACCAACCCAAACCCCAAAAGTTAAAACCTCCAGAGTAAGCCAGTTGAGCCAACCATAAGGACTAGCTGTGCCCTCCACAGCTAGTCTTACTGTGTGTTCTGCTAATACAGGTGCCGCTTTCAACTCTTGTTGTTAGTGCTATTGGCATTGCATGTTTTTGCCATTGCTACTTTTGCTATATTATTGCTAGTTCTGGTTAAAATAGATAAATCGTGATATATACAGTATTCGTTTTGATTTTTAGGTATCAAGGGTGGAATTTGTGTTTTTGTCGGTGTTGGCATTGGTTTTGATATTTTTTGTGCTCGCATAGGTCTTGGCATTGGTATTGCTAGTCCACTAGGACGACGAGGACGACGACGACTACTACCACTGCGACTGCTACTGCTACTGCTACTCCTACTACTACTACTCCTACGACTGCTCCTCTCCTACTACTCCTACTCGTACTCCTACTCCTACTCTTACTCCTACTACTCCTACTCCAGCTCCCTGCTGCTCCTGCTGCTGCTGCTGCTGCTGCTGCTGCTCCTATTCATATTCTTATTCTTATTCCTATTCCTATGCTACTCTTACAAATGCGAATGCTGCTGCCGCCGTGCAAATTGTCCATGACTGTAGGCAACGCATGCTGAGCGAGGGGAATGTAGATTTTGATGCCTTCCCACTTCCACACCATGAAGAACCAACATGTTTTGCAAGCGGCGGGTGTGTTTACATGTGCACACAGGTTGAGATTCTGTAACGGAGTGAAGTGAAGGGACAGTTTTCTATGACCGATGGTCCGCGCAGCTTAATGCATAGCCACGGGGCAGCAGCAAATTGTCCAGGGGCGGCATCCATCCATCTCTTTAATGGTGCCTCGTCAAAAAACCTGGAAACCATGGTACGCCTCACCACAAAGATGTTCATGAGGAGAGGCAGGGTGAGTGCATCAGAGGATTGCCAAACAAACGCGCGATTTCTTTTTTGCGCCACAGGATCAACCTTAAGACAGTCTTGTGTCCAGTTATCGGAATCGTTGCTTCCAATGAACCTCCGAACTCATCCAAACTCCCACTGCGCAGGCGTTCACCTCTTAACTTCGGTTTCAAGATCGCACTGAGACGCAGCCTCGGATATAGATCGCACTCGGATATAGTCATGACATGGCGTGGAGCAATTCTATTGAAGGATTCAGTGTTGCGGAACGGTCCTAGGTGAAAATCCTCACTGCGGGTACAGCAGGGGAACACGGCAGTCGGCATGTCACCCTTGGTGTTTTTCTTTGAAAGATCTGCGGAGACTGGACTTTGGACCTGGGAGGTGCTGAGGAAACGTTTACCGTTTGGCCGTTGGGCCTGGAGCTGGCGGCGAAGCGGTCCCATTCATCGAAAGATCATGTTCAGACAGAAACACGACACAACAAAGAATACGCATCAACATCTATAGATCTACATAGGCGGGCGAAAACCAAGAACATGACCGCACAAAACAGAAAAAGGATCACAGCACACAGCACACACACACAGCACACGACAAAAACAGGGCCCGGTTCGGAGTTCCGCTGCAGCTTCTGACCTCCTTCCCTCCCAAATCGGACCATGGCGATTTGGACCGACAGCGTGGCACACCTCGAACCGGAGGACGAGTGGCCCTTGCACGCCGTGCCCCTCTTCGTCTTCGGAGGCGTGGACCGGCCGAGGCCCGGCTACCGAGAGGAGGTGAAGTTCACCCTGCGACACGACAAGTACGTGAGCTTCGCCTTTCGCCTGCGCTGCGGCACGGGGGACCGCTACATGGGTGGAACGGTGGGGCTGCTCCACAACCAGGAGCGCATGGAGGCCACGGTGGGCGATGAAGGACAGGTGGGTCGATCGGATCTTTTTTTGGCAGGGAGTCTGTTGATACTTTTTTTCCTCCAAAGTCCCTTAGCCCAATTCTTGTGGGTTGTACCCTCCAAATCACTCCGCATTGTTCCACGTTCTTGGACCCACCCTAACCGGTCACGGCCAGCCCCTCCGCCCCTCGGATGGCACGCTGTGTGCCTTTTGGCACTGTCCTTCGACCCTACCAGGACAACTGGCCACCATCCTGGACTTAGTGGTGCAGCCCGACAACTCCGTCATCGTCACGGCGTTGGGCGACATGGCCTTCACCGTGGCGCGCACCTGGACGCCCCGCGGCATGCGGGGCCTGCAGCTGGCCTTCGTGGACGTGCATCGGTCTCAGGTGCCAGCGCTGCAGCCCTTGCTGACCACCTGCCAGGGGGAGCCGGGCTTGGGGCTGTTTGGGCAGCTGGTGGCCAGCTCCACGGGATTCCAGGAAGTGGCGCAGGCGATGGATGGAGGCGATGGGCCCTTTACGGTCTTCGTGCCGCAGGATGCTGAGTTGGTGGAGGCTTTGGGGAAGGAATCGATCGAAGAGATGCTGCAGATCCCCTATTTGCAGGACCTTCTCGCATGCCACATCATCCGGGGCCGCATTCCCTTCGAGGCCCTGTACAGTGGTCGCACGCTGAAGGCCATCGATGGAACAGTCTTGATGGTGACCTTCTTGCAATGGCCGCGCGGGGGGCCCTGCATCAATGAGATTCCGGGAGGAGACATGGACATTGCTTGCTCCAACGGCGTCATTCACAGCATCAAGGGAGTGCTGAAGCCGGCGCCTCGGAGCAACCAGCGCAGATGACTCGTGACGTAGTAGTGAGGAGGGCACGCTCTTCCGGCCAAGATGACCGGAGGCGATGTCGGTTTCACATTTTAAGCGATGCAAGGATTTCTGGAACAGAGAGAGGGGGTAATCTCTGAATGTTTGCCATGCATGCTTTCGTGGTGTGTTACTAGTTGGACCTGAATACGTTTATCGCTTGTGCATGGTAGTGCTTGTTTCACCAGGCTTCACGTTCCAAAGTGGAATTGATACTGGAAATCGCAGAGCAAAAACCGAGAGAATACACGCATGGCTTGGATTAAGTTTGGAGAATGTTCAATGAAAACCATTCTCGCCTACACATCCCCATGCCTATTCTTTCCAAGTCTGGTTTGCTGATCAAAGTCGTTTCCGTTTGAGGAACCATTTGACTTGACTTCACGGCGAGGTGGCAAATTGGTGCATTCCCTCAGATACCGCTGTTCACGTCCTCAGTTCCATTTTTTGAACGATTGGATTTGAGTCCTGGCAACTGACGTTCGTGTTTGTCCAGCTGCCACACTAGGCCCTAGGCCGGATCAAGATAGGCGGATTCCGCCTTCAAGGGGTAGTTAATGGACACCCCGAATCACGGCTAAGGGGCTATAAATAGACACCCCTTGGAGGGTCATGGTAGTCTATTTTCGCTATTTTCGTCTTCCGTAGGGTCCTGGGAGGTCTTCCTATTTTAACAAGTTTTTCAAGATATAGCCAGGGCTGTTCCAAGTTTCTCAACGTACCTACTGTAAATGCCTGCAGCTGGTAACTTGGAGTTGAAACCCGGATGCAACTTCGAGGTTCCTTTCGCTCAGCTTTATGAGCAAAACACAATACAATGATAAAGGCTTGACAGAAGGTGGGTAGCCTCCAGAACTGTTTTGGAAGCATTCCCCATCCTCTTTGAGAAACGATGATTGACATAACATAGGCATCCAACTTGGGTACTGGACTCTAGGAGCTGTGCACAGAAAGGGGGAGGTTGGCCAGGCATTTGAGCCAACCAAAAATCATGGCAGAGACCACGATGCATTTTTGTCACCTGCATGCTGTCGCCTTTATGGACAGCAGCATGCAGCTTTTGTGAATCTGTTGCACAAGACTCACAAGATCCCTCATGTGTTTACGTAATTGCTTGCCATCCCCGATGCTCCCGGCAATTTGTTCAGGATCATCGGCAAATCGCTTCGGTCCAGTCTTTGGTTGGTTCACCCGTTTCCAGCCATATGTTCTCCCAGTGTTCTTTTTTTTAGCCACATCCTGAGGACGTCATGGGGAAGGTTTGGACAATCTTGCTGCACAAGCTTTGGCCTTGGCCTGCTTGCCGCAAAACAACCGTATAAATAGTTGGCGGAATTTGCTTTCTCATTTTGTTCAAAACATTTCCTGATGAACTTGGTCCAGAGATGTGCATTTCTGGAACGCACATTTGGAGTTTCAAGGTTCGAAAGCTTCCCGTATAAGTGTGACACGCGGCCGACTCACGCAGAGTGATGGCGCATCACAGTGAGATCGCAGTGCATCCTGCTCGTGGCACGTGTCCGCGGCTCAGTCAACCTCGCACTGCAGACTGTGACACAAGTGTCACACAAATCTTCTTTCGCCGGCTCTTGCAGATGTTTGAGTTGTCGGCCTTGGCAAGAAGCTAGAGTTCACCAGCTACGGAGGTTTCACTCAAGAGCCCCAAGTAGTTCGGAACGCCTCCTCCCAAAAGTGCGCTTCAGATAGAATTGCGAGTCGCGCTTCTTGTCAGACTTTTCTGCACAAATTGCCGTGCAAACGATTTCATTTGGCCTTTTGTGCGTCCCAAGTATTTGCTGAAGCCATTTGGCACTAGACGCCTGCAGTCTCCTGGGTGTTTTGCTCGCTGATCCGGACTGAAGTGATCGCCCCATCTCAGGGAGCTGGGCGATGGAGGAATCGGTGCAGCAATTCCTGCAGGAAGCAGGGTTACAGGAGTTCGCAGGAGCCCTGGAGGGCCTAGGTGTCCAATGCATCAAAGACTTGGAAGAACTCGAGGCAGAGGAGGGGTGTGGGACCATGTTGCAGGCGGAGATGTTTCTCAAAGATGTTTTTGACCTCGAGTGCTTGTCACTCGTAGATCCCTTTTCACATACAGTATGTTGACTTTAGGGCTTGACCTTGACGGACTCTCTGACTCCCCCCGCCTGGTTCCAGCAAGGGTTTATCCAGCAGGCTGTTCATTCTCTAAGTTTGAAGAGTGCCACGTGTCAAACATGTATTGGCAATTTATATCTGTCCAAGAGCAGCTTCCATTGACCATCGCCATGACCATCACCTTCCGACATCCATCCCTGTTTTTTTGGGTGTGGGGCAGGGTCCAAAAGGTGACATTCCTCGACCTGGTGAACGGCAGGACTTCCAAGAGATTGGCATGAAGAAGCTGCAAAAGCGTCGCCTGGAGCGCCACTTGGGAGAACGCCTGGAGCGCGCGCCCAAGCGGCCGCGAGGAGCCGCTGCGGAGCCCGTGGCGCAGGTGGCGCAGGTGGCGCAGGTGGCTACACCTGCGGTGAACACCAGCGCAGAGTTCAAGGGGGAGGAGGCAGCGAGGAGCGATGCGAGCTCTTTTCCAAGCACGGAGATGCCTCCGCCTAGCTGCCCTAGCCACAGCGAGAACGAGATGAAGAGCGAGGTGAAGGAGCAGACAGAGGTGCTGCGAAGGGTCGGTGGTGCCCACCAGTTGGGCCCATGGGACGCTTAGGGAGGGGTCCTTCGATGTCGTGTGGTTTCTTTTTCGGCCTCGTTGTGCTGCAAGAGTGGTGGCGAGGTGGCCTACTCACTTCGCGTAAGCGGACCTATTGCCTGAAAGGCCTGAATGCAAGGATCCAGAGCATTCCTCAGAAGGGGGCCCCACACCGGCTACATTGAGTGTAGGCTGTATGACATGTTCAAGGAAATTTCAATTATATACTTCGCTGCCAGACGGTGGCTTCTTTAAAGTTGAATTGTTTGACTAGGTGCCTTCCAGGCCCGACGATGACGGTGAGTGGGAGATGTTGGGTGAAGATGACCTCATGCAGCATGTGAACAGCTTGGGTCAAGAGGCGCGGCATGTGAAGAGCGCAGGGTTCATCGTGGAATCAGAGAGCGGTTTTGGAAAACACACCGCCCCCCAAACACGGTCCTTCTTAAAAAGGAGGCCTGCTGGTCGGTCGGCCCGCCTCGGATGTCGCATGTGCACCAGGCTCCAGAGGCTGTCATGGACATTGATCACTTCCCACTGGCGAGCTGCAACCGTGAAGCCACAGGCGCACAGCTGATTGGCCTGCAGACGGATCTGCAGGACGACATGCACGTGGCCAAGTTGGTGACCAATATCGAAGAGGTCGTGGCGCTTTGCAACATCGTCCGGCCCAAGAGTGCGTCGATGGTCCCCAAACTGAAGGTGAACTTTCAGAAGCTGAGCGAACCTTCAGCGAGCTTCCAGGTGCCATGGGTGTTTGAATTTATGACTAGACCTCATTTGTCATGGTCGAGCTTGTGGAAGCGGCCCTACATTCTGTGTTTGTTCTGAGACTCCCGCTGCCAGGTGGTGGCGCTCTTGGGCGAGCAGCCAGATATTCGAAAATTCCTCGACTCGCTGCAAGTCCCACAGCCGACGGTAGACATCTTGAAGAAAGAGGCGCCCGGCCTTTATGCCTTGGTCCACCAGCAGCGGCTCTACTTGATCCTGTGGCCCGCGAGTGGTGGCTTCCGGGATCATGCACAACGTCGACAGTTGATCAGTTTCATACATTATGTGTTACAGCTGGCCTCAGAGGTGGCTATGGGTTGGAAACCTTCAGCACCCAAGTTTTGGCTGTAAAAAACGAAACAATGTTGTGCCGTGCCATGTTATAGCTACATATTATGTTCAATCCTGTTTGTGCTTCGGCTTGGGTTCTTTAGATTTCCCGGAGCCAGGTGATTTGGCTGGTACAGCAAGGTGACGTGGATGGTGTGCAGAGTGTTGGAGGCTCCTTGAGGGCGGCTGACACTTCAAGGACTTGTTGGGGTCAGGTTTTGACTTGTGCCGCCTCGTGAGTATTCTGTTTCGTGTAAGTGTCGCATCGCTTTTGAATAGTGCTTTTGTGCTGGCTTTCGGAGCGGAGGAACATGGACATTCAGATCAGCATGAAGTCTGCGAGTGAAGATGATTGCACACTAGGCTCCCCCTTTCAAGCGTCGCTGAAGTGGGATTTTGCTGCCGTAAAAGTCTTCAGTGGCAAGCAGCGGGCTTCTTTGGGCATGATGAAGGTTCAGCCTGCTGGCAGATACAAGCAGAAAGATATACAGCAGTAGACCATATTGAATTTCTTTCGCAACATCAAGGACACCCATGTGGTGCACTTTGACCCGGCTTTAAAGTTGGAAGACGCTGCTGAGTTTGTGAAGACTGTTGCGCCTGACAAGTTCAAAGAGATTCAAGAACGGCACATCCAAGCGCAAAATGATGCGCTCCAGCAGGCGCTTGCCAAGGAAAATGCGATCGAAGAGAGTGCGCAACGTGAGAGGGAACAAGTCTTTCGCAAACTGAAAGGGGCCATCTGGGATGAGTTTCTTCAACACCATCCCCGGGAATTCTTCGCGCTGAATGCATGTGATACAGAATGCGTCTTGTGCAGCCAAGAGTTTCTTTACTGCATGTGGTTCTGCTGATGGGCTAGGTGCTAGCTGGGACACATTCTTGCAAGTTGGAGGCGTTCCAACATTCCCCTTCCATAACAATATGGACAAAGTGCCGCGAGCCATTGCATTACATGGATGCGATGGTTTCGCTGTGTGCTCGTTCCTGAGGTTGGGCAAGATGCCTTGTGCTTGCTTGCCCTGTAGTCCCAGCCACATATTCCATCGTGATTGCCTGAAGCAGTGTTTGAAAAGCCGTGCTTCGCCTGGCCAGTGCACCTTTGCAGCAAGCAGCTTGAGCTTGGCCCTCACAGAAGCTCTACTCATCCGTGACGGAACTGAGGCCCAAGTTGCCCTTTGTGCAGGTGCAGGGCAGTTTTCATGTTCTGCATTGGCAAGACTCATCAGCACTCTAAGTTTAAGTTTTGCAGGTGTGAGTTTCCGAACCGCCCAGTGCAAGACTTGCTTGTGGCCCCATCCTTAGCTCAAGTGCTTGCACCGATCCTATTAAGTTGAAGCGGCAATTGAGGACCTCACAGACAAGGATGCCGCTCATGAGCTGACCAGACAGCTTCCTACCCAAGTCGATCACGTGCTTGTGGGCAAGTGGAATGCCACCAGCCAGAGGCACGTGCCAGAAAAACATCGAAAAAAACTGTTTAAGAAGATTGGGGAAGTGTTTGGAACGCAGCTTTGCTGTACAGGTGGTGGCGGGGACTGAATTACTTTGTCATCATGGAGGACGGACGCCGAGATCTTTTGATCAAGGTTTCTGTCGACAAGATTGCTGATGGACCAGATGGAGTATTGCACAGAGGCTCTGGCCCCGGTGCTGGCTACTGGTACGCCATTTTGAAGTACCCATCAAATGGGCAGATCTTTGGAACGGTACGGCTGAGGGAATTGGGAAATGACGAGGTTGACATTTGGCATCGACCTCGTGGAGAGAGAATCTGGGGCGATCCTTGCAAGGCTGCAAAGGATGTAGCTTTGGCGTCGCGTGCAGATACCTGCAGCCTGGGTGGCGCGATCAAGCAAGCAAAGCTGCGGCTCACCAACTTGTCAAGCATGTACATGTTTGCAATGGTGGCGCGTTCCAAGAAGTGGTTTGAGGCCAAAGGACTGCCTTTGGCGGATACCATGCGGCAGATGCTGATAGAGTCCGTGCAAGATCCAAACGCTTTCAACCATTGGCACAGAAAGCTGGCCCCTGAACAGGGCTTTTTTGAGAGGCTTCGTAATTATGGCAGTGGGGATGCAGGGAATGTGGAGAGTGTGAAGAAGTTGATGCAGGATGAGTACAGACGAGGTATCTTGCATGAACCCAATTACACCAAAACGCTGCAAACTTACCGAGAACAACTTCTTGCCAAAATGGACGAAGCCCTTCGACAGATGTCCGATCAAATGTTCAGCAGATTGAAGCAGCATGTGATTTCCCAAAAAAAGGCAGAACTTCAGAAGGATCGGGCTGACAATGAGGTGGAGCTTGAACGCCATGTCAGGAATGACTTGTCGAGGGCGATGCAAAGCTTAGCTCCGCCCAATGCGATGAGCATCATGCTCACCAGGATGGTCAGCCGTTTCTCCGGAAACTACAGATTGCACTACGAGAAAGAGGTCGAGGGATGCCCCAAACTCTTCTGCAAACTGGAGCACCTCAAAGTTGAGAAGCAACTCTTTGAACAGGTTCTAGCTGGTGAAGGAGACCACTTGCAGGTCGAACTGGAAGCCTCAGGTCCCGAATTCGCCCTTGACGTCCAGGACCCTGACGACGTGCATTTGCTTGGCTCTTTGTCCAAGGAACGCGTGTTTTGGATCTCTTCTCATGAGATTCCAGATGGTGGCAAGGGGGTGAAGTTTCACTGCAGTGCGAGAAGCCAGCCAACTAAAGAGCTTCTGAACATCAAACGGCCGACCAGTTCAGTTGCCTTCAATGAAACTCTTCGCATGTTGGCCTTGTACAACCAAGCTTCGAAGGTGGTTGCAGTTTATGTCTGGGACGAGGCATTTACACGCCACACGGACTATTGCGCCCCGATCAACCTGGAAGCTTACGTGCAAGATGCCGACTTGCTGCAAATGCACTTCTTGCCGGCGTCCAAGCAGCTGTGCTTCGTTCTCCGCAACAACATGGTGAAGGTGTACGAGCTCGTTGCGAAGACCATGCGCCCTCGTGGCTTCCAAATCGCACCGCATGCAAAAACTTTCGTGGATTCCACAGGGACTGCGTTGGTGGTGCTGCGCCAGGAAAGCTCCAAGTGGATGGTTGACGTCATTCTTGTGGCCGACGGTCGCCAAGTGAAGACTCTGGCACTCCCATTGGCGCTGCAAGACGAGGTTCCTGTGGTTGACATTCTGCGGCTCTATGGTGTGGATTTCTTGGTCGCTTTGGACAGTGCGACCAAAACCCTGCACGGTTGGAGGCTCCACTTGCAAACAGCCGAGCAAGTTTGCTCCATGGAACAGGTGGGTGAAAAGGCAGTTGAGACCACCAAGTGCCAATCCGCAGGCATGGCTTGTTTCGACATTTTGTACCAGGTTCTGGCCAAGTTCACCAACCATCCGGCGCTTGGTGCAGACCTTGCGCAACAGATGACGCGCCTGATTGTTGTAGGCCCAGCCATGTCTTCCAATCCTGGTCCAGTTGTTGAGAGATATGTTGCGGACATCATCAGGCGGCTCAGGCAAGACACACAAAAACCATCGTTGGATGGCTTCAATTTGGATACTTGCCTTGCACGACTTTCGGGCTCTCTTGACTGCGCCCATAGCGTGGGTCAGGACTCAATGCGCAGTAGTTCATAAGCATGGGTGCACAACTTCATCCAAGTTGAGGCTGTTAGAATTAGAAATGAGGGAACCCAGTCGGAAGTTGACAATGAACCTCGCAAGATCACACGCAATCTGCACACCGGTCACTTTTTCTGAGCTATAGAGATAACCTAACGCCGGTGCTGTTGAGAAGTCGACGATGTGCATTCTTGAAGCCCAAGGAGGGCCTTGCTTCCAACATCAGGAGCGAAACAGTGAAACAAGAACATGAAAACTGCGCAAAGAGACCCTGAAGCCAGACGGAGTCAGTACACACTTCAGGTCAAAAAACATGAGGCCGGGCAGGGGAAGAATGTGTAACCGTGGAAACGGGCTCAGGAACTGGGAGGTATGCACCCCTCGACTGATGGCGAAACACATGCAACAGCAGGTTTGCTCAACGTTTTGACCAGGTTCCGCTGTATCCTGATGATATCGAATAATTTGCTCCTAGCCTTCTCCACAGTTGTAGTTGTACTTATGTTTTGCGCAGTCTATGGCCACGTTTCAAGCTTTTGTCGTTCTTGTTCTTTTCAGTGGCTGTTTCGCTTTCGATGTCTGTGACAGGGTGTGTGAAACAGATTTGGCTTTTTGCATGCACCGTTTGGTTCCTGACTATAGGTTTGCGCACTTACACATCTAAACGTTCCCAAACAATCCATGTCAGATGTCTGACATCACAGCTCTCACATTTGCTGAGGACGTCTCTTATTGGCCTGTGAGCTCCAACGAGGGTGCTGGCGATGTGGTGTCAAATTTACAGAGTTCTGAGATGACAATGGCTCAGCCGTGACCTCAGTTCATCAATGTTGGAGGCTGATTCTGGTGAGCATACATTTCCGTACAACCAATCCTGTGTGAGGCTTGAGTGCGCACAGTAGGTGACACTGCCGTGAAAGTAGAGGGGTGTAAGGTAAGGCACGCTACATTGTCAGGAGCCCAAGCGAAGCAAGGTTTTGCTCGGTAACGTCGTTTCTGGTGGACAGGTTCAAGCTCCTCCTGCATCACAATGGCCATAGCATTTCCAAAGGTGGTTTGGAGATGCCGGGCTCCGTTTGTATATATCTGGCTGTTTGATAGACGGCAGATGTTTTTTTTCTGTACTTTATAAGGGGTGTCTGAACGAATTTCACACGCGTCAAATTACGCCGGCATAGACACCAGATGGTGTTTTCTTATGTCTTCTTATGTTGTATGGTCGCGCCCGTTACAACCGAAAGCAAGTATGGCCAGACATCTACTTAAATGCAATGTGATGAGATTAAATAGGGGAAAACTCCAGAACACATTCTATTCTCATCGTTCAATTGGGGAGGGACCTGTAAATTTGGAATAACTCTTGTTTCTCTACAGTGTTAATCATCCCCTCTCTATGCCACTATGCTTTCCGCTGATAGATATTTTGACGCTTGCTACGAAATGGTCGCGCGGCGTGGCCGTGTTTTTGATTGATGATAGGTACCTGATAGGCGCTTCGCTGGACCAGACACCCTCGTTACAGCGATTGCACTGAGCACGCTGATTACCCTCATTGTGCACGCTCAGTGCCTTTGGCTTCTCGAACAGTTTGGACAAGGATTCCCAATCTTCCAACTTTGCTGCTCCATGCACAGGCGATCGCGTAGGCTGCCATGTGTATCAAGATGTTGTTCAATAAAATTCATCTGGTCAGGGCCATCCTCTGGTAGGGATGAATTACCATCCCAATGCGGTAGTAACTGAAAAGGATTCCTAAACAGGTAGCCTCTCAAAGTCTCTGATTGCTCCTTTCACATCATCACGAAAAAGTAACTAAAAGGATGCCTGAGAAGAATCACACAGGGGGCCAGCTGTGACCGGGCCCACGAGAGTTGGATCTATGGGCAGAAGGGGTGACGTTTTTTTGGTGGTGGCTACGCTCGGTGCACAGATTGCGCTGATTTCACTGGAATCGGTGCATCCGATGTATGTATTCGATGTAGCCAGTGTCACCGGTACAATCGGTGCACGTCGTTTTCATACTTGAACGATATTGGGAAGTTTTCAGATAAATTGCGCTCTAATTGCACAATACGTCCTCTCAAACTTGCTCCTCATCACCTGGATTGTTTTGCGGTTTACCCTGCCCTATGTTTCCAACATTCTCCTTCGGCAAAAGGTTTCAATGGAATTGTCATCATTGCAAAACCTTTGGAAGCCCTCTGGATAGATGGCACTAGCATATGGTTAAATCATCACCCTGGATAGCTATCTTGGTCCGGTGGTTGTTGTTGTTGTTGTTGTTGCTTCTTGTTTGAACAAATTCATGTCGAATACATGTTGGTTTGCTGCAAGCATGTGAAGGCTCTACCACACATTTCTCAAACATAGCTCCTGTTGTTTTTTTCGACCAGCAGTTTTGACAGGGAATATTTCATTGAAGTATGAAAAGCACCACGCAATCTGAGGAGAGCGTTGCGCAATTTTACGAAAGACCAGACCGGACCCCCACCAAGTTCGTCAATCTAGAAACGCGATGAAACTGAGTGGCGCAGAACTGCAAGATCTCAAGATCTCGTTTCTTTGATTCTGCTCCTTTCACGACCTGCATTTAGAGGGCCAGATGCTCCATGTGCTTGATTCGTACTCTGCGTGATTTGCTTGGTGTCAAATCCTTCTGAGCAGGTCAGAAGACAGGCGCACACAATCAGACCGCGCTGCCCATGGCCACGATCGCTCCGTACCAGTTCCAATGAAGGTGACAACTCTGAAAGTTGGAAATTAACTGTTCCATAATGACTGACCACTTCTGAAGTTCCCCTAGCCATGTAGTTGGGGAGAGTGATTCCAAAATCACGCTCAAACCCTGGAGCGACAACAACTCTACAACCCCATGATTCTGAAACTGTGGTCGCAACTGTTTGCCTGGACACTTTCAATCCCTGAACACTTTGGATCAACAAAAACCAGCCCAGAACCCCTGGATCCAACTTTTCTGGATCGCAACTCCTTTGGGCCACGCTTGGTTCTTACATGTTCTTATAAGTGTTCCTCCGCTAAGCCGCTAAGCCTTGAATTATGTTCCTTCATGCAGAGGTTTTCACAGAGATGCAGAATTACTTAATTTTAACATCGAGGTGCATTTTAAGTATTCTTTTAAAGGTTTGTATGCAACCCAAAATCATAAACCATGTCCTAAAAACAGCACAATTTAGAACATGCAAGCAATGCACAGGACACATCCAGCATCACAGACATCACCTTGTTGTCTGTAGGTGCCTTGTTGATCTTGTTGTCGTTCATTCATTGAATATCCACAAAACACCAAAAGAACCCTTGCATTTTAAGCATATTGTTATATAGTTCAACCCTGCCATATGGCGTTTGTTAATGAAGCCTTTCAGATACCTTTTGCAGTATATAGTTCCTTTTTTTTGGGGGTGAGGTTGAGATTTCTCATTGTCGCACATTGAGCATTGACTACCTTTTAACTGGCCTATTTCTTAGCACATGTTTCAGACGTTTGGGTTTGATTTGTGAATGTCATCGTGTCGTAGCATGGGTGCACGTACAGGTGTTGCAGTGTTGCCATTTTGGTTGCTACAGAGTGGAATTGATTTGGTAGGATTTGTATCTTGTCAACACTTGCATGTTTTTCTCCATGCTGTGCGTGCGCTGAAGGGTGCAATAGCGAGGGGCAAAGTCATCGATACACTTGTGGATGGCGATCATGTCTTCAAAGCCCTAACTTGCAACATCGTTCGCACTCTGCTTGGGGAGTCGCACAGTCAGCCCTCAGTTCGTTGCGCATGGTGGTCTTCCACGGTGGGAAGACATCGAGAATCTGACTGATCTGTGTGCCGCACAGTGTCTTCAAGTGAAATCGAAGGGGTGCCGTGTGGTCGTAGGCAGGAGAAGTGCGGGCGTGTGGTGGTCATACACGTAGTTGCGCCAATAGAGCATTTCCGCAAAAATGCGGCAGTACTTAGGCGACATGCAAGTCTAGTGTTCGCAATAAACTATACAGTAAATGTAGCGGCAAGTAGGTGAAATGCAAGATATTTTCATACATGGAGTTTCATACACGCAGCTTTGAAGTGCAAATGGTCCTCAACATGCCTTGGCAAAACATATTTGGATAATCTTTCAAGTATTTTTACACATATTTTGCATAGGACCTTAGGAGAGTCGTTCCGGACCTTTCCCAACATGGACTGAAGACTTTCATGAGATTTTAGGTTTTGGGAAGGAGAGTTTCCATGCCTAGTTGCTTCTGCCAGGAAAGTTCCAGTTTCGGACACCCTACACACATATACTGTATCTACATATAACCACTATCAGATGTGCTTGGTACAATTCACTCAGGAAAGTTTTACTTGCTGATAGGTACACCTATTGTCTCGTGACATTAAATGCACATCATTGCCGGCTGGTATCTTTCCAATATATTTTCTCCCTGATATTTTGCCTTTCAGTCCGTTTACAACATTCTTCAGGGCATGACCAGGGTCGTTGAACACCTTGCCATCGCAGCCGGTTGTTTCATGATGCTATGTTAGCAAGACGCGACAAAATGTAGACGCGACAAAATGTCATTGCCCACAAGATTTTAGGTTGAAAGAGGGCTATCATGAGACAATTGGGTTCATTTCTTTGCACAAGGGATTTCGTGTCACGACATGTGACACATGTTTTTCTTTCAACATTTCCTTGTGTGAGTTGAGTCTACAGGGTGGCGCTGGGTTGCTTTGGGCTTGCAGTTCAGTTGGGGAACTGGGTGTTTGGAGTCGCAATGGCAGGGCTGCTTGACAACATCACCAGCTCCACTTTGCACTTCACCGCATCAACGATCACGACACACCACGTCAAAGGTTTTAAAACTACAGAACCATCAAGACGCGAGAAGATGGTAGAAGCATTCACTATATAAAATGATTTGCAGATGGCCGTGCATAGAAAGCACACCACACCACCTCTTCATAGATTATTATTCACCACTTCACATTGCTGCATACAATTTCCGTTTCTGTTTTTTTTTGGGGGGGGCCTTTGACACCCCGGCTCTGCCTCCTTGGAGACTGCCTGGCACATCCAGAGTGAGTCGGCCTTTCTCCCAAGAGTTCTGAGCTGTCTCCGATTGTTTGGAGCGTAGAGCAAGCTTTGTCAAGTCACTGTCGCTCATTTTGGCAAGCTGATGGATTTGCTGCCGAGGCTGTTGCGCAAACTCATTTGCCTGGTGCCCTTGCAGATTGCCCGTGCCGAGAATGAATCCTTTGTGATCCTGAAAGATGGCATGCGCGAGGACGTCAGTGACTTCAGCAACCTGAGTGAGTTGGCAGAGTTTATTTCCTTCGGGCTCTATGAGCTGGTATTGGAAAGCAATGAGAACCCGGTGGTGGTGATCAGCAGCATGGGCAAACAGTCCACTGGAAAGTCCTACATGCTGAACCATTTGGCAGGCCAGTTGACACATGCTTTCAAGAAACCAATGAAAGCCCGAAACCAAGGATGCTTCGTTCTCAGGCATATAAGTGACCATGCATGCCAGTAAAAGGTATTCTTTCTCATTCAGCTACTTCAAGTCTTTCCACCAGCTTTGGCAGGCACAAGCTTTGATACCTCTGGCGGCCGCTGTGCCGGCCTCAATTTGATGTTTCTGTTAGTGCACTGAAGCTGTGGTGGAGACCGTATGAACACCAGTATCTCAGGTACTGATGGCGTGTGGATGACAGTTCGTGAGCACAGTGACATCACTTATGTGATGCTGGACTTCGAAGGCTTGGGCTCTTTTGAGCGGTCAGCGCAGGAAGACATGCTGCTGTCGGCCCGAGGCTTAGGACCCTACTGCGGCTCAGAGCTCATACTTCGCTTGAAAGTAGCCTTTCCCATTTTTTGCACCCTTTTTGCTTTTCTGCCGCCTGAGCCTGCCAGGTCTTCAATGCCGCCATTTCTCACGTTTCGCTCTTCCGCACAGAGAATCGCCTGGATTGCGACACCGCAAGCATCTTCTCGCGCATGCAGCAGGGGGCAAAGCTGATCCAAGGGGACGAAGAGCTGTTCAATGGATTTTTCCAAATCGTGGTGAAGGACGTCGTCTCTGATGCGAAGGAAGTTGCCCAGGAGTTTCGGCAGAAGATACAGCACATCATTGCAAGGGACAAGGAAGACAACTTCTTCTTGCGCTTATACAAGGGCCGTGTGCAGGCCTCAGTGGTTTTTCTTTCCTTGTGCGAACTGTGAGCCAGATGGCAGTTTGGACTTGATGCACGGCAAGAAAACTGAATGCCCACATTTCCAAGATCACATGCCATTGTAGGCCAACATCAGCTTTATTTCCCTTGTAGTCCGGCGGCGTAAATGCAAACTGCACCCTTGCTTCGGAAGAATCCAACACCACCTGGGAATTGTTGCCGCAAGATTCTCTTTGTACTGTAGATTTTTCGAGGGGTAGTATCTAGTGTGTTACCTGTGAACAGTCGGTAGAGAAGAACATCACTAGATTAGAGATGTCGGCCTGCAACTTTTCACCATCATCATCCACTGGGGGAATGGGATACATGGTATATATACACATCCACAGTGTCGTTGTCCGAGGTTGGCATCCTGCCGTTCCCAGCTTTGGGACGTGCGGAGTTCTACCGGGAGTTCAACTCGCTGACCAGCAAAGTCCGTGCTGCGCAGGCGCGATTCCCGCGCTTCCCGCGGGTGTTTGAAAGGACCGGCAGCACGAAGCGGGTTTAACTGGTTTGGTGTCCCAGCTGCCCCCCAGAATGATCAGGTTGGAACGTTTTTCCCTAGAGCGCCCCTTACGCTTGATGCTGTTAAGTTGAACAGGCAGCTGTTTCGGAGTCAAAAAGACGAGGATGCTCAAAGAATTATGTATACGGACACGGACATCAAAGGACATGAAGGATATTTGCAAGGAAGAGGGGGGCTTAAAGGGGCAGTTTGTACGAAGTTACTTGACGGCACTTGGTGCATGGTGGATGTCTTGGTCTTCACACCTTCGACCCTCTGATGGCCAGTTGCCCACCTGTGCAAGACATGAATTGGAAAAACACACACACACACACACATATATATATATATAACGTTTGCGTTTCCATTTTTTCAGCGATTCCATGCAGTTGCTCAGGGTCAGAAAGTACGGCCGTGGTGATGAGAATAGAATACAGAATACCTGGCAAATACCGAAAGGTGGAAGTGTGAAATCTTTTTTGGTATTTGTTGTTTTGTGCTATATACTACTTCCATCATATAGTTCTTTGATGGCCTGACAGTATCGCATTGAACCGATCCATAACTGGAACCCTTGCCCTGAAGGCGGAGAAGCGTTGCTTTGAAAGCGGGCGACAGTACTTGCGGAACACCAAGCTCTTGATGGCAAAGATTGCCATGAAAGATTGGACGCCGACTGTCACCGCCTGAGTCATTGAATCGGACTAGCAGCTAGCAGCTTGTTGATCGAACGTTGGGCTGTTGCATCTGGCCAAGCAAGGATCAGAACAAGATCAAAATGCTGCTTGCCAGCCTCCAGGAGTGCCTTGCAACTGCAGTGATGGCAGGTTGCATGGCGGTGACTGAGGACATTGAGTTGAGTTGTCATTGCCACATGTTTTTGTTCCAGTGATGAAGCGGATCACGTCTGGCACTCTGCAGGATGGCCCCGTTCCATTGCTTCACTTGCGAAGCAACAAGACTTTCTTGGACAAAGGCAGTGAAGGTGATGAACCAGAGATGAACAGCATCCTAGCAGCTGTGCCGGATGAGGGCTTGCAATTGGCACTGGTTCAGGAGCAAGACGGAGCGCTGGACGTGGAAGTGTCGTGCGAGATCATGGCATCCCTGCTCAGCAAACTGAAAGCGGCTGTGAACTGCTCTACTGCCACCGTTGCTTGCCAGCACGAGTCAACGGGGTAAAGTCTCAGAGAAAGAAAGTTCTAGGCGGTGATGCGGTTCTAGTTGGGCTCAGAATTAGGGACCTACGAGGTGCCAAAAACAGAGACAGTTCCGCACGTGTGGCTTGTTTTTGGCCCGAGGACTGGACTCCGGTTCTGCAAGCCTTGGCGCAGCGTCGGCAGAAGCGCATCGTTGCGTGGCTGGAAGCCAATGTCGAGCACGTGGCGGGCGAAGGGGATGCGCAACGTTTGCTGATGGTGGCCAAGACGGTCCTAGCCAGGCCTTCTCAAAGAGAAGGGGGTTCATTCCCACCAGGTCATGGGTAGGTGGCTAAGCGCACCCCACTTGCGTTTTTAAGGAAGCCAGGAACAATATTCAATATTCTGCCCGAAAGATTGTTTGGAAGAGATGTGCACTGGGTCTGGTAAAGTCCTGCCAGGCTGTTGCAGAAACTGCGGCTTTGCGGTCAGGATTGCGGAATGTGCCGTTTGCCTTGCACCCTACCCGTTGATCACAGCTCATCGTCCCACGACTGCGGCACTGATCACAAGTGTCATGCCTTCTGTCACTACTGCGCGTCAGATGGTGTGGCTGCAGCTTGTGTTCAGCCGGCTGGCCACTCAGCAGAGCACGATTGTGGAGATGCTGCTCACACATGTGGGGCTGAATGCTCACTGAGCAATTTGGGGAATTGTGGAGGTCGTTGCGTGCTGAAGCCCGGGCATTCAGAAGAGCAGCACTTGTGTGGATCCAAGAGGCACCATTGTGGAAAACCTTGTGCTCTCAGCACTTGTCAGCATTCTTGTGTGTTGCCGCACGACCTGATGCACGACCGGTGCGAGTGCCACATCATTGTGTGCCCCAACAAGTGCACATTTCCCAATTGTACCTTCATGTGCTCGGAGCAGGATCACTTCCACACAGAAGGCCACAGCGGGGATGGTTGCATGTGTGACCAGCCGCACCAGTGCCCTCATGAGTGTGAAGCACCAGGCATTTGCGAAATCTATTCCGAGCTGGTGGTCAAGAAGCAGAAGTTCACCGGAAAGCACGACACCTTTGACTACGATGCGATTGAAACCGAGCAGAACGGTGTTCGCAAGGGTTGTTGCAAGGTAGTGCCACCCAAGAGTCGGCAGCATGAAGGTGAACACATTCATTCGAGCACTGAAAACTTGGTGCATTACTGTGATGTGAAGTGCCCCACTTGCGGCTACTACTGCACCTTACCATGGGAGCATTCAGGAGAGCATGACACTCGTCATGGCAACATGCGGCGGACCTACTTCGTGTCGGATGAGGACCTTTGTTGATTATGTTGAGTGTTAATCATGCTCTCCACTCCCCTTCACTTGTTTGAAGACCGACCTGCCTTGAGATTGCAGGTTCACGCACCATGTAGACTGTCCCATGCGGGGGTCGTTCAACTTGATCAGGATGTGTTTACCTTGGGATCTCGCAAATATGCTCCCGCTGAGTCTGGAGTGGCAGAGATGTGCAACATGTACTGCCATCGGGCTGGACGTGAGCTCCTCAGCATGTGACCACATGCATGTTGAGCCTTGAGCCAACATCGGTACTCTTTTTTTGGATTGGATCAAATGTCGAATTGCAAGCCTTGTTGAGCTTTCACTCCATGGTTTGCTTATCGCATGAAATCAGACCAAGGTGGGCACACGCATGTGAAGCTATGCGCTGACTATTCCAGTGGGCAGGGTGGGCAGTGCTGCATCTCGGCCATGCCAGGACGGCGCCATTCCATGCGTCAGTACAAGCCGAACCCCGAGATTCCCAAGGACGAGTTCACCCATGAGGCTTTCTGGGAGAGCACTGGATTTAAGGATCCATGCTCCAACGAGGACAAGGAAGTCTTCGGGAAATGCAACCACTTTTGCCCACACGCCTCACACATGAAGGATGGCGAGCTGCCTTCCTTTTGCACCCTGCCGCTGTGGCATGCAGCGCTGTCGGACCAAGAAGGCAAAGAATATGTGAGGCAGCACGGTGGGATTGTGTCACCTGATGGGCATCATTTCAGTTGTTCGCACAGAACCAGCCTGCCAGTCCATACCATCTTCCTCATTGACAAGTCTGGTTCCATGAGCTACAATGATGTTGTGCCTGAGACGCGGCCGTGGCGGGACTCGCATCCAAATCGGTTGGGTTGCGCACTGGCGGCCATTCAAAGTTTTGTGGAAAAGCGACAACACAGTAGTCCAGATGACAAAATCTCTTTGTTGGCCTTCGACACAGACGCTCTCAATGGGCCATCTATGGTTTCGATCTCGGACTTCGACACTTGCCATCAATGGCTCAGCAACCTGGAGGCAAACTATCAAACCAGCTTCGCCAATGCCATGGCTGCAACTATCCCACTGGTGCAGCAAACGCCCAACAGCCACCGATCAATGGTGATGTTCTTGTCGGATGGTTGGGATCATTTTCCCGCACAGGCCCTGCAGAGGGTCTTTGCTGCCGTGGCCCGCAGCACACCGGGCAAAGCGCTGCGCTTGCACACAGTGCAGTTCCCTGCCCAGCACGGCAGTGATGCCGACGTGCTGGCACAGATGGCGCAGGCGGCTCGGAACCATGCGGCCTTTGATGATGAGTTTGCCCAGGCCAGTAGCTCCATGCAGTCTGTGGACAACATTTCCTTGCAGGAGACCTTCATGGGCATAGCTGAGTCGCTTTCTTCCGCGGCTGGTGGGCTGATCACTGCCAGTTGAAGAAGCTTCAAGAAGCGTAGATGCACTTTCGTGCGTTTGTTTGACATTTAGCTGGGCTGCACTTCCCAGAAGTGCATGCCATGGGGACATTAGCTTGTTTAGGGACCTCCCAAGCTCCGCGGTTTGATGCTGGCAAATGGCGGTTTGTTTGGAACTTTGTTGCTTACCAGCACCCCACACTGGCCTCGTTGGATGGGAATACGTCACGGTGACTATTCCAAAGCTGGGACAGCGAGTCCCAAAGGTGTGCTGCACGAGCCAGCGTTGAACCTGCCGAAAGCTTCAGGGAGTCCAGTCTAGAATCTAGGCGACAGCCATAGGGGTGATGCTGCGAAGCCATGCTCAGTTTGAAAAAGTTAGTCCAGAAGACTTACAGGGAAAGACATAGTCAAGCAAGCAGAGATGGTCATAGAACATGAGAAAGAACGTTTCCTTTGAGTTTTGATCGTTTCCTGGGGCACCACGTGCTCGCCGTTCTCGCAGTGCTTGGACCGTTTGCATCCCCGTTTTTTCCCGACCTTCCGGCGGCTGGGGCGGGGCCAGCAGGAAAGCGGCTCGGTTTCAGTGCCATGGAGCCGGGGATGGGCTTTTCGGTGGTCAGGAGCCGCGTCCGAGAATGGATCTTCGTGAAGAGGTTCGATCTGGTTAAGCTGAGATTCATTAGGGGTTGCCTAAGCTTGACTCGTGCGCTCCGATTGCCTATATACCTTACCTATATATAATATATATATATTTATACTTATACTTATTATACAGTTTTCCCTACACGTGATCCTTTTTATGGTCCAACTGCGGGCTGGCCATGGGGTTGGGTTGCAACAGTTCCCGGGCACAACCAAGTGTTGCAGGAGAGCTGTCTCTCAGAGGTGATGAGGCGAGCGGTTTTCGGCCGTGATCTTTGGAACATCGCTGGCTAATCTACTGTAGAAGCTTTTTAGTTTCGAGCAGGAGCGGAAAGAAACAGGACTTTGCCATTTGCCCTTCCTTCGTTGCAAAGAGGCTCTTTTTGTGCATGTCGCTTCCAACCAACTTTGTGGAGTTGGTTCCATCTGCTGTTCCGAGCCGCGGTCCAGGTCGGCACGTTGGCTTTTGGGTTTGTCGCGCGTTCGCTGCAAGGCTGCCGACGGCCGGTTCGCGTCCGTCAACGTCAACGGGAGACGAGCTTGAATTAGGACGGACAAGATATGATAAGATGGGAAGGGCAGAGCACATCTCGTCTCTGTATGCCAGACTCGATGTCCGCTGTGTGTATGACTCTGAAATGTAGTCCCAAAAAGAAGTTCTGACTAGAGTTTGGTTATCTGTAAACTAGTTCAACGGCCAGTTTGCTGACCAGAGCCTACGTTTTAGATTTGTATACGTTACAGCATGTGCTTAGCATTGCTTTAGTTAGCAGCTGGGCTGTGCGGCTGTGCTGCTTGAGTTGCCAAGCACATCGGAGCGTGGACATGTCGAGGATGCTGCGGGGCGGCAGCCAGATGCAAAAGGGAACGAGCTCCAGCTGTGCACATCATGAGAGATGGGAGAGAAACCAAGCAACCCGGCGTGTGAAACATGAGTCTGATGGCATTTGTTCGTGGCCGTCCTGAGTGCCGTTTGCACTTCATGTGAGCGACATGGCATGGTTTAGAGAGTCGTTTTCACAACATCTCCGGGCCTCTCAACAGTCCTACCAAGCCCCCCCTCAACAGTCCTACCAGCTGCAGCTTGGGAGCACGGCCGAGCACGGCCCGTCACATTTGCAAGATGACGTGAACCTGTCGTCCGTTTCAGCCTGATCTATGCCGCCGTGACATGTGAGCTTCGCCTGGACTCATGGCGGTCGCAAGCTCGGACTGCCACCGGGGGGAAAGGAGCTTCCTTTGGTACCTACGCCTCGGGGGAGAGGAGCCCGTGTCACGCTGGGTTTCTGCGTGTGGGCGAGTGAAGGTCAAAAGAGGACACGAGATGAGAGCTTAAAAGGCATTCCTTTGGTTGTCCCACTTAAAATTATCCAAGATCCCCTAAGAAGGCCCTCACCGCAGCGACTGGGAAGTCCCTCACCTGCCTTGAACCTATCTTTACTTCCCCCTGCACTTCCACACCCTTTCTTCCGTCCATCCCCCGGTGACGCCGCCCCAGTGACACGTCCCGCCGGGCTCGCCACGCCCCGGCTCGCCATCCAAGGCGCCGAAATCGGCCATCAAGTCCCGATCGGAGCCCAGCCGGGAGAGCTCAGAGAGGCACCGGAGCTCCGTTCTCTCCCCGGGATGGTTTTCGGCTCGGCGGCGTCCGAGAAAAAACGACGAACGCGGAGCCCGTTTTTTTGTGAGCTTGGAGGTGTTTGTTGAAGTTGTTTTAGATCAATGCTTTCTTTTTATCCCCCCCTCTCTGTGTGGTCCAAAAAACACGACCACGAGGTTTGATAAGAACTCAGATCGATATGTCTTTTTCAATTTGGAGCAGTGCTGTAGAAGCGTCTACTGAGTCTACTGGCAAGTTAAGTTGGACTGGCCTTCCAGCTTGCATGGACACTAGTTGCACGGAATTCATTTGGCAGATCGCAGAAGTTTCATTTTCACTTGATTTTCCTTGCCTTTGCGAAAGACACTTGGGTCATGCCAGGGTTTGATAAACGTGCAAAGATTCTCTGCTGGCTGAGGGCAGTGTTCCATGCACACCTTGGCACAGAGAATCTCATCCCCCAAAGTCACTCACAGGGCCAGGGTCGGCAGTAGTTGCCGCAGTCTTCACTGGCCTAACCGACCCTCGACCCCCACTGTCTTCGGAGCTTCCAGAGCTTCCAGAGCTCCAGAGCTGAGGCTTTTCCATCTCCGTGCCCAGCTGTGCTGAGCCGTGCCCTGACTCTTCATCCGTGAGTCCGTTATTCTTTTTTTCCATTTGAACCGCACGGGGCCGTGAACAGGTGGGGGGGGACTTTAGCACGGTTTCTATCAGCACCGAAGACACTGAGTGCATCCGATTGTGCTGCACCAGCGCAGAGCACCCGCTGTTGGTTCGGAAGGACTTGCATGATTTTGCGCCGAGTCTGAAGGCATTTGCTACCCCTCTCCGCCCCCGAGACTTGTGCCCAGTGAAGGGCTAGCTGCTAGCTCCACTAGAATTTGCAATTTTTGGTCGGGCCGCCACGAAGACGCTGTGCACCCGAGCTGGGCAGATCAACCGAGCTGGGTGTGGTTGGTTGGAGGTTCCATCTACTTGGTTCTTTGAGGTCGGAGAGTGTGCGCTGGGAGCTGCAGCGGGCCGGGGCCCTGGTCCCCGACAACGGAGCGAGCGGAGCGAGCTCGGAGTGGCGGGGCGTTGGAAGGAATGCGGAGGAGAAGTTTGGCAGCGTACATACTTTCAAACCAAAGAACATGAGAAGTCTCGGAGGTCGGGATATCTCAGACATATTTTGCATATACTTTTCTGGCTCTGGACAGAGCGAGGTTTTGTATCACCTTCCCCTTCACTGGTTTCCTAGCCTACCGACGCAACATGAACATAGTTTCCTCTACCAGCCTGTGCTTGCAGCATTCACTTTCCAGAAGCTCATGCTAAGAAACATACCATAAGTAATGGCTTAGGGAGATGCGTTGGACAAAGATCAACAGTAGTCCGTAGCCCAGTTGAGCTCAATCTGATGATGCACTCAAAAGCCCGCGCTTTCCAATGCCAGAAAGACGCGCTGCAAACTCGATATCGGCTGAAGAAGAAGGACCAACGATCGCGATTGCGTCGAAGCATGTCGATTGGTGGACATCATATTCCCTCCAAAAGCGCTGTGCCTGGACCTTCCAAGCCAGGTGGTTTTTGGACACCCCTTGAGCAGCTCTGAGAGGCTATGTTTAGACACCCCGAACGGAGGGTCCTGGTAGATAGCTCTGTGTTGGACATGGTTTTATATCAACCCTGACAGTATCATTCAGGGTCCGAAGTCGTCGGGATTGGGTGCAACGACACATCTTCCACTGCGTCAGCAGTGGTCCAAAGCACTTGCATACAGTAGCTGTCAGGACGTCATGCCGAGTTTTTCCTATATCATAGATGTATATCGTGGCTCCAGCATGAGCAACCAGATCTTTTTAAATGTCCTTAGGACAAACCATTGACATGTGGCTGTGCATTGAAATGGGGAGACGAAAACGAAACCCGCCGGAACATTCGTGAAAATCCACTGTTGGGGCGATCGGGGATCTCCCTATTGCACAATACACACCCATTGTGGCTTCACAACAGGTGGTCACTGCAAGTGGCTAAAACGCGCAGAAACTCCCGTTCCGACTCCTCGGTTCATCAGCCGTGAGTTCGGTCACTGGAAGGAACGGGAGCGATTGGACTTCCATGGCCTTGCTGGGGATGTGCCGAAACGTTGAGATCCTTCTTCTTTTGGGGTGGGTGGGTGGGGTTCGAAGGTCAAGAAATTAATGACTTGGAGCTTCTTTCACTGTATGACTGCATGAGAATAAGAAGGGGGTGAGCAACATGTCGCACACTTTTCGGCCGGTGCTCCGCATGCTCCGCATGCTCCGCCGATCTGCAGGTACGGGGCTTTACAGCCTTCCTGACCCACAGGCGCAGGGGTGTGAGCCGAATGCAGGTGGGATGATGGCTGGAAGGCGGTCACAGTGGACCAGTTGCCACAGCTGAAATACCACCAAACAACGGCCAATTTGAGGGGCCTCCTTCCATGCAACCTACGAACCATCCCGATGAACCGATGAAGAGCTCTAATTACAAACAGGCCACGCCAGAACTTCCAGCCCTGCCCCTAACCCCTTTTGCACCTTCATCTCAGCCTTCTTCTGGCTCATCCAATGGCGTGAAACCTCCCGTGCTTTCTGTTTGCTCAGCACCATGGGTTTCCTCACGGCTCACGGTGCCAGGTACGGGTCCATCTGCCGCGGCTGGCGCACGGGCGTCGCTCCGGACGAGGTGCCACAGGGGGCGACGGCTTGGAGCCAGCGATCCCAGTGACACGGGTGGGGAAGAAAGACAGGGTCTTGAAGCGGCCGATGGTTGGAGACAAGTGGCCATGGTGCCCGTTGTGGTTGGCATGTTGCTAGCAGGTTGGGCCCTGAGTGTTCCTAAGAGGGTCTTCTTCCTGCAGAAGAAGTTGATTGCACTTCTTCAGCCCCCCGTTTTCCTGGGCGAAATGAACCAGCTCAAGCCTCCCCCCGTTTCCGCACCCGTTCGCGCGCGCGTTTGCTTGGATCAGATGGGCCTGGCACCCGTCTTGCAGAGCGAGTCGCGGGGCGCCAGTGGATTCGTTTCTGAGGGTCGCTGTAGCTGTGGAGGTGGAACATCCCCCTGATTCGAGTGGTCTTCCAGTGGTCAGTGGTGCTTTACATGTATATATATATATATATATGAAGGAAGCTGAGATAGGACTTGTGAAACGATGGGTGAGGAAGACATGACACATATGATATGTCATCAGTCATCAGGAAAGAGCCTACATGCCACTCCTATCTCATCAGGTCAAAACATACAAACATGACCCTGGCACACACACACACTCATATTTTTGTTGCCTCATATATCTCTGAGATTCCATAAGGTTGCATGGTTTGAGGAGTAGTTGAATTAAACCGCGCGTGACCTAGGAGTATTCCACCAGATGGCCACACGGCAAAACGCCATCCCCAGTACAACAAGCTCAATAACTAAACCATGAAGGTGCCCCATGTTTGTCCATCAACGTTGTCCATCAACCATTCAGAATCATAAGAATCCTGCACGCGTCGCCAGTACCAGGGTATCATTCATGTGCTGTCAGTGCCAAGAATGTGCTGAGTTTCTTCATGGCAATGCACAAGATGGGCTTCACCGGAAACGTCCTGTCCTTGTGGAAGGACGTGCCGGGGACGCGTGTTCCATCCTGTGATGCCTTTTCATTCCGGATTGCGTGCGGTGATGTAGACCGTTCCTTGGTCCGTGCGCGCCGCATGCGGCAGGAGCTCACCCATGGTGCCAAAGAGTCCTGCTGGTTGGGAGTAGCTTGGTGGAGTTGGCTGAAGCACGCTGGCTTGCGGGACCCAACGAGGGTTTTCGGGTGTAAACCCAGTTGGGGCACTCACCAAGTGATTTGGACCTCTTCGGACTATGGTTTAATGTTGCCATGAGGGGGGCGAGACGACGTGATGATCTGCGATTTCTCGTTCCGGTTGGCCTAGCTCGCGGGGCCAGCGATTTAAGGACATTGACCACAAGCTCCAGCGAGGGTTGGATCAGTTGGCCGCAGGTCCGGGAAACCTGGCGCGAGCAATGCCCAGCCATGCCCAGCCATTCCACACCCGCGTGGGCCAGTTTTGAGGGAAGTGACCAGCCAGTCACCGTTTTCAAGCGGGGAGCCTGGGTAGCCTGGGTGGCTCTCAAGCGATGGGATCTAGGTTTGAAGGGGTCAGGAGTGCTTTGGAGTGCTTTTGGGGTGATGTGACGGAGTAGTAGCTGAGTAGCTGAGCTTCAGATGAGTTTGTAGAAGAGATTGTAGGAACATGTGACATAACATGATGCCTGCATGACCTGCGGGGTCCAGAATCTTTCCCACTGGTCAGAAGGCATGCCGCAGCATCGAATTTCGGAGTCGAGTCTCGGAAAAAAAACACGTGCATTGATTCGTTGACTGATGTAGGATCATTGCCATGGCCATGGTTGGGTCGGGATGTCCTGGTATTCGTGCAAATAATAGTTGATTGAGATAGGAAAGCGGCACGGGTCCAGGCCCCTCAGCACTTTAGGCAGTTGCACCCAAGAAAGGCGGCTCCCAAGACAGCAGACTTGTCAACTGTGGCCACCTTGGCTCAAGAGCCACGAAGACATGGCGGAGGCAAAGGAGAAAGAGAAGAAGGAAGAAAAGAAGGAGGAGAAGAAGGAAGAGGAGAGGGATTTGTGTGTGCCGTGCGCCCCAGCACCAGAAAGGAAACTCTTGTCAAGACAAGGGAAGGACGAACAAGAAATTGGGCAGACAGGCAGACCGGCGCCATGTTTTTGGGGGGCTTCCATCCCTGGTCGAAGTCGCGTGACCGATGGGTGGTGCACTGGCCACTCCCTCCTCCTGAGCCGCCTCCCTCCCTATGGCTGCTTCGGTTCGAAAGACTCGCCAGGAGACTGGAGCTCAGCTGGCTCACAGACACGTCTTCGGCTTCAAGAGCGGCGTCAAGGGCAACGTGCACTTCACGGATGACGCACACCTCCTGCCACCTGGACCGAGAGTACTGGAGGGGAGTGGGGGCGGATGACGCGGCTCTGTGGAGGGATGTTATGGATATGGACCTGCTAAGGGATTGCTGGGTGCTTGGGCGTAGTCACAAGGACTTGTGTCATAGCAACTCTTCAAGATCATGGTTTAACATGAGGCAGGGCGAGCATCTCAGGAAAATGGGGTAGCACACCAGCTTCCATGGCACATGGAGGGTCGCACAAAGAGTCGTCCATCTCGCAGTTCGCGGCCATCGTTTTCTTGCAGTTCGCGGCACTGAGGTACCCTGCAGGGCACAACACCATCCTCTACCATGCGGATCACAAGAGTCAGATCAGAGTCTTTCCAGGCCCAAATGGAGCAGAAGCCCGATTCGAAAATGCCAGGAACAGGCTCTTAAGGATTGCTGAATGAAAACCTCTCCAACGGTGCGAGGAGGTACGGAACCAAGAGGTCAACTGGCCTGGTCCATGGGTCTCTATGGCCTTTCTAAAGGACGATGACTCCTTTCTAAAGCAGCTTCATTGGAGTTGGATTCCACCCTCCCCCACTCCCCACTCCCCAACCAGAACTTCCTGACAGCTTGCGGCGAGCACACCTGCCAGGCTCCGAGGGCAGCGAGGGCATTAGCAGTTTAGCCTTAAGTCCCAACCGGAAGTTCCTGGCAGTGCCTGGGTTTGAATCCCAAGAGGTTGGTGTTGCCCTCCGGTGGTTCAAGGCAGGGGGGGTTAGAAGCAGTGCTTCGGACCCCGAAGGTTGCAGACACTCCGTGGAGAGACGTGCGTTGTCCGAGGTGCCAGTGCGTTGCGCGTTGTCCTGTCATGCTTGGTGGAGGGAAGAGGGAAGAGGGAAGCTTTTTTTCTCAAAGCCCTTGGACTTCATGCTTTGGGGTGCCAAGAATGGATGGTCACCACCTGAAATCGAACTGAGCCGCTATCGATCCAGAGCGGGATTCTGCATGATGGGCACCATGTCGCACAAGTGACACCGGTGATTCTGCATGAGGGTGTTGGTGAGCCTTGTCGAGCCTATCTCCCTCGTCCCATGTCTTTCGCCCACATGAGCTCCGGACACCTCACCCTCCACCCACATCTCTGTGCACCTGTCCACGCCGGACACGCCCAGGTCTGCGAGAAGTTTCAGGAGCGCGCCGTGTGCTACGTCTACGACGTCACCACGGGCAAGCGGAGAAGAGGTCAGCTCACCTACGGCGAGTGCGATGTGGCTCGGCCGACCGATGAGCGGATCGACCGGCTCGCGGGCGACCAGGGGGTCATGGCTGCTTCTGGACGTAACTTTTTGGTGGGGGACCACCACAGACCATCGCTGTGTCCACCAAATGGGTTGTGTTCCCTACAAATTAGCCGGAAGCCGGCGTGGATGCGCCCAATTGCAGTGATTGCTGGGGTATTTGGCAAAAGCCCCCTCCCCGCACCTCTATAGAGTATCTGCCGATGCCACTCGTTCCAAACGACGGCACTTCATCCATCCCGGGGGTGTGGAGCAGACCACCTGCCGATCCACTGGATGCTGCCGATCCACTCCTTCGCCGGGATTTTGGAGGCCCGGGAGTACGTGTGCGCGGCCTTCTCGGCGGAGAACAAGCTCCTCATCACCCAGGGAGGCCCACCAGACTGGACGTTGATCCTGTGGTCCTGGGACAAGGCGCCCCGAAAAGGGTCCGGGTGGTTGGGGGGGGCCAGCGGCCAAGATCTTGAAAAGCTCCAAGATGGATGTCCAAGCAGGCTAAGGTTTGGAGTTTGGACATGGTTTTTGGAGTTTGGAATTGGTCACCTCTATGCTTTCCTGACTGTGATGTTCATGTTCAATAGTGGTGTGTCGGTTAACCGCAGCCTTGAGCCAGAGCACCCGCCAGGCGAAGGCCCATGGGGCCGTGAAGGTCTCCAACCTGACGGGCAGCATGATCCATGAGTGTTCCTTCAATCCACAGGATTCCTCCCTAGCGCCATGGCAGCGTCGGCCTAGGGCGTGTCTTTGGGGCGTTCCGGTGGAACTGGAGTAGTGGAATGGGGGCAGAGGGTTGCTCAAGGTGCTTGCGGAAAGATCCGTGAGGCAGTGGTAAAGGCTACTGAAGCCGCCTGTGGGCAAGCCCTTAGCTGAGTAGGTCTTTTTGATGGGCTCGATGAGGTGAGAATCCACCCGGTGGCCCGTACTGCACTCATGCAGGGCATGTGGGTTGTGTGTGGATCCAATCGTCGTCGGGGCCCGATCAGCTGTGCCAGCCCGGTCTGAGGTGTGCATCATCGGAGATGGCGTCTTCAAGTTCTTCCGGCTCCAGGATGGCACCTTCAAAGGGATCCCGAATCAGCTCAATAAGATGCGAGAGGCTCGCGGACTTGTGAAACATTCTTTCAGACAGTGGACGACGGGCAATTAGAATGCCAGCGCCAGCGCAGATAGAATATGATGCTTGCCTTCCCTTCTTGTGTTTCGTCCATTGCTCCCTCGTGCGCCCTTCATTCTTTGCACCCTTGTGTGTCCCTCTTCATTTCCCCTCGTGCTCTTTCATTCACCCGTCGTGTCTTGTTTGTTTCCCCCCTCGGGCCTGCCTTGTTTTATCCTCTCGCGCTCCCTTCCTTTCCTCTTTTCCATTGCCCCCCAGGCCCCTGGGTTCCCTTCATTCGTTCCTTGTGTTGCATCCTTTGCCCTTTCTGCCCTTCCCCCTTGTGCTTCATCTGTGGCCCACTCGTGCCCCATTCCCCCGTTGCATCATTCATTGCCCTCTTGTGCCCCCTTTGTGTTTCATCCTTGCTTCCCCTCCTTGAGATGCTTTTGTCGAATACTAGCTGCTTGAACTTGGACTGGCATTTCGCCGTTTTGCTTTTCATTCTTCTGCGGTTCCGGCTCTAAGCATGCTTTCCTTGCCAGGCGTCGAATCAGAACTACATTTGCCACACCTGGCTGAATGATGACCGCCTGATTGTCTGTAGTGAAGCTGGAGATGCCTTGCTCTTCGACAGCGGGGGTGAGTTCAAAATGGTGCCCTGGCTCAGCTTGATCAGATCCATGCTCCAAAGAAACCTTGCATTCATTCAGGATTGTTCCATGTAAACTCATGTGCGTACGGTCCCTATTGTATGCAGAGATGTTCGCGTGGACATCTGGGCAGTAGGTATGTAGGCACGAGACATGGGTTTGCGTGTAATTACCTGGTAGATTCTCGGGCGCCAAGGATGAATATTGAGCCTCAGGACTGTTCTTCAAGTACAGCTCGTGTCGGCAGAAGACCAAGTGAATATAGTGAATGCAAGATCTATTAAAGAAAACCATGGAAAACCACTATCCTCGAACCCTCAAGTGGCACCTCTAAGTCTGGCAGCTCTTTTTGGCTAGCTTCGTGCTTCCCCCCGGGTGGCGCCGACCTAACCGGATCGGACGTCGTCAGGTGCTTCCCTGCTCGCCTTGTGAGCCCCGGTCCCTGCTTTGTGTGGCCTCCTTTAGCCGGGGCTTCATCGCAGGTGCCGTGCCGAAGGGAACCGCGGGGGGGCGGGCCGCAAGGGGCTGGTGTGGTTGCGGATTGCAAGGGGTGTAGAGGGTGGGGGTGCAGAGGGTAGGGTTTAAGAAGATGTTGGCCTGGACCGTGCTGATAGGGCAGAAAGCTGTCTTCTGCGGCTTCTTTTTTGCGGGTTTCGAAGGTTTTTGGAGTCAGCAAGAACGCAGTGATAGCGTGTCGTGTAGGTTTCCTTATGTTTCCTTCCATGGGCCGAAATGGATGATGAATCAGGTGGTGAGAAGGGCGTGGTCACCTTCTACGAGAGGAGCGATGACGCCAAGGAGACGAGCCTGCTTCGTGGGGCGAGGGTGTCTCAGGTGGGTCAGTGGGTCCACGTCCATGGGCTGAAGAGGAGGCAAATGGTTAGAGCTAACCTGCACATTGGGCGCAAGCCACTGAAAAACCTTGGGTGCCCCCCCCGAGCAAAGAACCGCAAAAGCAACAGACTCCATAAGACGAAGATGAATGGCCTTCCTGTTCGCATGGCGCAGACCGCGGCATAGTGGCGGCAGGAGATGTTCCGGAAAGCGAAGGAGGTGCCAATCCGCTGATTCGGCTTGGCATGTTGGGATCTTCATTCTCTTCCAGGGCCCCCCTTCAGGGGTGATTAATGGATACCCCTTAACCTCTAAGGAGCTATAATTAGGGGGTCCTGGTTCATTATTGTTCCTGTGGTGGTTTGTACTTTATTTATTCTCTAATCCGCCCTCCGCGGATTGCGGTCTCCGCTTTTGACCTGGTGAAGTAGCTTAGCTTCACCTAGCTTCGACCTAGAGCACCTTTCACCCACCACCGTCGGGACGCCCAGCGTGACGTACCCGGCCTTCGGGGCAGGTGAAGTTGGATAGCTCCATGTCTGGTCCAATGATGCCCAGCGTTGGAGCCGTGACCGTGCCATGGCAGACCACCATGGAGGGTGACACGAAGCGAACGATTCATGGGTGTAACCCATGTGGCGGTGGTGTAGGACTATCAAACAAATGGTTTAGGGACGTGTCGAAGAAGTCTAACCACTTAGATTGTGGCTTATTGTGATTGAAGAGGGACGTGTCGTATGAAATGATCTTTTTGGGCCATTGGGATGATGGGTAAGTGTGGACCCAACAAGATCAACCAAGATCTTCTGAAAAATTCTTACGCACGTGTGACGTGGTGGTGGATGCCAGCTCAAATAAAAACAACCAAAACTCGCGGTGTTCCTTTGCTTTCTTTCCGGGCTTCGCTGTGTCAACTGGAACGTTCGAGGGCCTCGGGACCTGCCTAGGCGATGACGGTGAGCCCCGCGGAGGAGACGGTGGCCATTGCCACGGGGAGCAATCAGCTGCTCACGCAGCTTGGACCGTGAGGAGTGGGAGGGAAGAGGACGGAGTGGAGGATGTAGAGGTCCATGTGATGGTTGTTGCGGCGAGACTCTTGGTGAGACTGGGGCATGATGGCGCGGATGTGCAGCGCCTTCCTGTTCCCACCTAAAACTTCCACTGGGATGCTGTACACAGCAAGAATCGGGTGGAAGGTGTGGCGTTCTCAAACCAATCGCAGTACACATCGATCCACCCCATGTCCTGTTCATTGGAAGCTCCAGGTTTTCGCTGAGCCCAACAGACATCATGAAGGCGGAGGAGGGCAATGTGGACTTCGCACTCACCTCCTTCCATACCGGGCCTCATGGCTGAGACGCGGAAAGGGCTGGGTGTATGGCATCACGGGCAGGCAATTGTAGGGGTCTCAAGTTGACTTTGTGGTGCTTCTGTTAGAGTCACTCCTTCAAAGTCCAGGCTGAAGAAGACTCACGTAGTCTCGCATGTAGTCTCTGAATAAGCCCAGCAGATGAGCTTTCTTTTCTTCAAGAGTTGGCCAGGCACAGACCAGAGTCTTTGCACCTCCGATCGCGTCTTCGCCCGTTCGCACGCTGCCCGAGGCCGATCTTTGGCCTGGACGTTTGTGTCCGAAAGCCGCTGGTGGTGACCTGCGGTGCCCGGGCTTTGATGGACGAAGGGCGAAAGGAGGAATGGACGTTGGCAGATAAGATGTAGTATACTTGCTTGGGGGATGCGATGGTTCGTATGGCCGTGTTACCCCATTTCTTTTCTAGATCTTTTCTCTTTGGGCTGTAAATTTTGCACTGACATGGTCTTGACTTCTTCCGCTATGCTCTGCGTTGCGCGGTGGCGAGCCCCCGCCGCCGCTCTCACCCGCCGGGTGTGCGATCGGAGATCGTCGAATCGTGTCTCGATCGCCAGTGCCCCCGACCAGGCACGGACAAGACGGTGCGCATTTGGAACTTTGTGGATCGAACGCAGGAGCTCTGCAAGGTCTTCAACGAGGAGCGCGACACGTCGCGTGTCCGCGCGGTGGTGAGGTGTGAGGGTTGGTGTGTTGGTGTGTCGCGCGGTGGTGTGAGAGCTGATGTGGGGAGCACATACGGGGAGTACGGATGGGGCGGAGGGATGGGGTGGAAGGAGGGGTGGAAGAGGGGCTTCAAGAGATCGATTCCACGTGAAATAGCACTCGGTCAATCCCTTCTAAATGTTTCAGAATTGAGGTATTTGGAAACATTAATGTAGACTCTTGATCACTACAACCCCCATATGAAGATGATTTTCAATTCAAGTGGGGGGGTGTATGGCCCTCAAGTCTACATTACATTTAGCTTGGTGAATTGAATGAGGTGCCTGACCAGTTTCGCGGACCAGCCGCGGCATCGCTTAATTCTTCATTCTCGACTCCAACCCGGTTCGGCCATGTCGGTGGCCCGACCATTCGGACCCAACTGGTGGGTGGATGCGTTGACAGGATTTGACAGGGAGAATCTAGAGAGGAGACCTATGGTTTTCATTGGTTTTCATTCATTCCCCCCAAAACCCATCAGAATTTTCAGTAGATGTTCTTTCCAACCCATTCTGAGATACTCTTAACGAGGTCACGGCGCCGTGCCCCCGTTTCTCTGTCCCCGGGGATGTTCAAGCGACGTCCTGCGTCTCGGAAGGAAGCCTTTTCCGTGGCGTTCCATCCTAGCTGCTTGGATGGTTTTGAGAAGCGATTTCGGACACCTGGGGCAGTCAAAAGCATGGCCAAAAGGCACCTCCTCGGGATCGAATCGAGCCCACAGCATGGCGTTTCCTGCGGGGCCTTCGATTCCATACGCTTCCACCGGCCCAACGCCGCCGAAACGAGGCGGCTTCCACCTGATCGTTGGCTTTGCGGACAAGGTGCGTTTGATGAACCTCCTCATGGAAGACTTCCGCACCTACAAGGAGATTCCCATCAAGGCCAGCGCGAATCGCGACTCGTTTTTTTGGGTGGCGAGGAAGTTAGGTCATGTAAGGGGCAAGGTGTGGAGGGTGGTAGCTTTCCGGGAAGTATGATGTGCAAACTCAAGTTAGAGGGCGTTCTAGCTATCACAGGCCACTCAACATCGCATCTTGAATCTTTCCTAATTGATTTGCATGAGGCATGGATTTAGTTCCAAGATGTTAAATGATATGCAATACGAGATAGTATTTTGGACTTGCAGGGTATGATTTAGCTATGCTGTAGGGTGTTTCCTCATCGCCTCATCTCATCCGTCCATCCCCAGGCCTGCCGAGAGACGCGCTTCAGCCATGGGGGCCAATTCTTCGCCGCCGTGAACTCGAACACCATCCAGGCCGTTGGCTGAAAGTGCTGGCTGGTCTCACGGTGGCTGAAAGATGGGTCTTCGGAAGGTTGGCAGTACTCACCGGAAGTTACGAACAGCTTTGCCCCAAAAAAAGGGAGCAGCTGAATTTAACCTATTGAGGGCCCTGTTTCGCCATCCGGAAGCCCTGGAAAACGTTTCTTCCCTGGTTCGATCCACGTGCCTTTCATCCAGGTGTACAAGACCTACACCTGCGAAGTGGTCTGCAACCTCCGAGGACATCAATCCAAGGCTCGCCGCGACTTCTTCGCGCTGCGTATGAAGTGAGGGAGAGAACTCAGAAACCACCTCCTCCTGTCCTGGGTGTAGACACCAACAGGCACGAACATAGAAGACCGTCTCGCTCAGAGACCTTGCCATGACGCAAGGGCAGGAACATTCTCCCCTCCCCACCTTGGCCACAAAACACCCTGAACACCGGTGAACACCGCGCCTCCCACGGTGTTTGGCGCCTCCCACGGCCTCGGGCCGACCGGTGAGGTGAAGGCGGTCTGTTGGACCAGCGACGACTTCCGCCTGGTCTCCTGCGGCCAAGACGGCGCCGCCTACGAGTACGACATCCTCAAGGAGGGCCGCCGCGTCTCGGAAGCTCGGCCCGGCACCGGCACGGCCAGGGCGGGGGGATCGGAGGGCGGGGTGGTGGGTTCACCGGGCAGTGGGGATGAAGGCTTCAGAAAGGCTTCTTCAAAAGCCTTCGAAAGGCCTCGTGAAGTTATAGGAAAAGAGCATGCCTTTTGTGTCGCTTGTTGGTCAGAGGACTGCATTAAATTAGACCAAGGGTGCGAAGCAAGGCCCTTGGGGCAGACAGGGAGGGACGAAGTTCCCACGTAGAACCGGATCTTCTGCTAAGGAGTGGTCCCAGAAGGGAACCAACTTCGCGAGCAGCCCGAACTTCACGAGCCGCCTGGCGGCATTTCCGAAAGACTGGGCACTTCAGATTGATTCCACAAGCTACAGTGAGCACCCATGCTGATTTTCACATAGATCCCGCATATCGATAAACCAACTAGTACATAATAATTGTTCAATGTTTTTACCTCGGGTTTGTCCAAGACCCTGACAACGCAGCAATGACCTCACGAGCCACCAGACCAATGATCACCTCAAGGGGTCTCCAACCATGTGACACGCGCCCTGGCTGCACGGAGAAAACGGTCCCTCCGCCCGGTTCTGCTTCCGCGCCGGACGAGGCATCGTCTCACACACGGACTTCGAAGCTGCCACGCCCGCCACCACACTCTACGTGGCCGGGTCTGACAAGATGCTCAAGGAGGCGATAGCTCGTGTGGGAGGATGGGTGACAACTGCCGGCCGATGGCCAGGCGAAAGGTCTGCTGGCTTTAGGGGTCAAATGGATGTGGTGTCACGGTTATGCCCGTGCCATGGGAGTGTCGGGGATTTTTGAGTTGGTGGACCCCGATTCGACAGACCGCCAGACCCGAGATCCAGACCGCCAGACGCATCACATCGCGTCGCGGAAAAAGGAACGCCGATCAACATGGATCGTGCATGTCATGTCGTGGATGAAATCCGACACCGACAGATCAGATCACATCACGAACACAATCCGATCATGGTGGATTTGGATAATGCATGGATGGATGGTGGTCCTGGCAGGTGCGTGAGAGTTCGCTGACCAACTACCTGGAGTCCAACGCGGTCCTGGGACAGCTGGCCTTGGCGCCCTGCACCCAGGCGCTCATCGCCGGAGTGGCCGAGCAGGAGCTGCCGGGTTCCTTGCGGTGCTACACCTTCCCGTTGACCGGGGACTACGTGGAGTACCAGGTGCAATCGTCTCGACCGGGGCATGTGAGACGGTAACGGGTTGGACCTGGATGTTGGGCTGAGACGTTTGAGACCGCAGTGAGGTGGAATGGGATGTGTGTGCTGGAGATGGCCCCAAAACATGAGAGAAGAGAAAGGCACTGATGCGAGGCTCCTCTTTGGTTGAACTTTTGGCTTGGAGGTGCCGTACGTGAAGCATTTCCTTGTGGGCAGGGAAGCCTTTCTATATATACTAGCGTCGCTGGTTCAAATGAGTACTATAGCCTAGCGTCCGCGTCGAGGCGCATGCGGCGCCGGTGTCGCGGATCCGCATCACCTGGGATGAGTTCCGCGGTCGAAGGAGTGGAGGGAGCGCTGAGACCAGACCGTCTGGGCTGAGCGCATGTTGTGGGGGGGGCACAAACGAGATCGGGACCGTTCTGGGACGGGGTTCGTTGGCGTTTTGGTTTGGGGGAGAATTGACTTGGGGTTGACTTGGGGTTGACGTTTGGGCTTTTTCTTGAAGGTTTTCATTGGGATGTTTTTTTGGACGGAACGGGGTTGTGGGGGGAGGGAGAATCCATTAAGTATTGACTTCGTCATGCCCAGATAGTTTTTTTTGCGCTCGGTTCCTCGGTTCTGGAGCAAGTGACGAGATAGGATTGACTCAAGACCTGGAGCACGGTGGACTTATCACGTCATGTGGCAAGATTCAGTGAGTCAACTCAGTTTGGGTATGCCACAGCTTGCCACAAGAACAGGTGCCTTGTTGGAGGCCACTGGTGTGGTCACCTTTTGCCTCTCCATCCTCCTCCATCTCTGTACGCTCCTTCTGGACATGCTTTGCCGGGCTGAGGCTGTACCTCTTCAGCACGGGCGACGACGGATGCCTGTGCATTTTCGACATCAAAAAGAATGGGCCACCAAGGAAGGATAAGGACCATCCGGCCGTTGTGGCCTCTTGCTGCTGTCAGACAGCATGGATGACACGGTCAAACACCCCAAGATCAAGATGCCCCTTGATGTTTTCCATGGGATGATTCAGGCTTAGTAGGGTCCTAATAGAGTGGATCCCGGCCGGGCCAGCGTCCTTCTTCCCACCTGGCCAGCCTCGCAGGGGCGTCCAGACCGCAAGAAGACGATTGGTAGTGTCCAGGTTGTAAACCGTAGGGCACCTAACTTGAAGGCTGATGGCCTTCTTGCAAAAGTCTACGTCTTTGTTCTACCACCCACGACCTGTCACTACCTTCCCCGACAGGACTTTGGCCTTGGCTATGCAGATGAAATCCTGGTGACGCGGCAGTTCTTGGACGAGAAGCAGGTGCAGCTGGCGGGTCTCGCCCCACATTCGCCAACTTCATGAAGATCCCAGTTCACCGAACCGGAGAACAGAAGACTTCGGGGGTATGATCATCACAACCACCCCAAGTTCCCCAAGCACGGCAGGTGCCAAGCACCTTTGGACCATCTGCTCGACCTCCTGGGACGCCGGAGCCCTGTGCCGCGCCCGCGCCAGGCGACCCTCTTGGAGTTCGAACGCCGCGTGCGGGTGCCCAACACGTTTGGGGCGCGACCGTGGTGGAGAGAGGGGGGTGAAGGGACGGAGGTCCTTGTAGAATCTGGATGAAGAACAGTTATCCCCCAGGCATGGAGCGTAAAACCCTCTTCAGGGCGGTCTTTTTTTCTTCATCAAGATTCTACATCACTGTTAGTTGAACGTAGTAGAACTGGAGAGTTGTTTGGTTTCAGGTAGTCGGTGACGGTTCTGTTTGCAGTCTTGCAACTTTCAGTGTTTTGAGTGCCCTTTCTGCCTAGAGCTCAGTGCCCAGAGAAGATGTCAGTCACTAGGCTGCATGCAGGGCGAACAGAAGATGTCCCATTCTTGAAGATATGCAGTCTGAACAAGGAGAGGGGGCTGCCTGTCACTTCTCTTTTTTCCAAGAAGCTCTCCAGATTCTTCAGAGGAGTTTGGAACCTCCCAATAACTCCAAGACATGCCGATGTCTTTGGAGGACCTAAGCTGGACCAGCTCCCTAAGCTGCCACTCCGTGTGAGCGATCCCCTCCGTCCGAGGTCGAGGAGCTGGATTCGCGGATCGCCTTTCAGTTGCGCCACCGCGATGGGCTGCACAAGGAGAAGATGGCGGAGATGCAAGAGAAGTACAGCAGCTTGGAGAGATGAAATCAAAGAGAAAGAAAGAAAAGGGATTGGGTTGGTGTGAGGAACCTGGAATGTGACGTGTAGGGGGTTTAGAAAGAAGTCACCTTGTGACCTTGACTCTTTGGGGAAGTTACTGCATTGATTTTGTTTGTCGTGGTTTTCTTTGATGCGTATTCTGTCCATTTCAGTTCTATTTGAGACCTTGCACGCCTCCACATGCCGCAATGAGCAGTTCCAGACACATGAGCGCAGACTCCACCCGGTGTGCTTAGCCCCCACTGCCCAGACTTGCCTCTCCACCCCGGAGTGCTGCTGTGCTCCCGGGGAGCGATGCTACGAGGTGAGGAGATCGAGACGGAGAGGCGGAAGTTCGAGGTGCTGAGGGAAGAGAAAGCGGAGATGGAGATGGAGAATGCCGCTGATATAAACTGAGGTCCTTTTGAAGCGTGGGCGGTGCAGGAACGATGCGGAGCGAGGGAGGATGGTGACCATTGGGGGTGGGGGTGAGGTGGGAACTTGGGAGTGAGGGAGGGGGACAGATACTATTACTTCACCCTGAGCAATAGCAGTAGCAAAGGGAAGGGTCTTGTCCTTTGCACCAAGTCTTGTCGGCCTGCACTGTGTTTTCTGGAGCTTGGATCTGTGCAATTCAGCTCGGTTGGATAGGCTGAGACCCCGCATGAGACCCCAATGTGGGAACGGCAAGCAGGCACATGGGGAGGGAGATCAAGTTGGTTGCCTGGTTGCCCAAACACATGGCATCTGTGGTTGTCTTTGGTGTTTGAACTCAAACTATTTTCAGACTTAGAACGCCCTTGAGCCTTTTCTAGCCTCCATGGTCACGGTGCCGCTCTCTGCATAAAGCAGACCAAACTGCCGAGGAAGAGCATGTGAAAACCTTAGAAGAGAACCATGCTAGATATCTCCAAGAGCAACAAGAATCCTTTGACCAGAAGATGATTGTGGAGGCGGGGCGATTCATCGTGGGTAATCGGCCCAGAAGGCTTTGCTGAGCGGCCCAGGTTGTGCAGTACAAATGACACATGTTTCGTAGGTGCCCCATTGACTTACTGGGTAGTTGCAGCTACCCCCACGACAATGCCAAATCCCAGCCTCTGCATGAGTAGAGTGAGTAGAGACGTCGTCAGGTTTTTTCAGTAGATCTGCGAGTTCCGCCAGGATCAACGATACAAGAAGCTCGAAGCTGATTTGGTGACGTGGCTGGCAGAGAGATTCTTCCAAGTCAAGTCTGAGTGTGAGGGTGTGAAGGATCACTGTCTCATCACAGTGGTATGTCATGCATAGTGCTACCATCACATCACATCTATGCTATACCAACGCTATGCTACTAGTTGTATGCTTACACATGCTTCTGATGGATGACATGCTCCTTGACCAAAGCCGCCCGCTCAGCCGGAGCCCAAACAGCTAGTCCTGATGAACTCCTTGGTCGCCCCGCACAGGAGCGCGAAAAGCAGGAATGGGATGCGCAACACAGCGCCCTTCTGGCCGAACATGCGCAAGTCATCGAACAGATGTGACTTGGATCGATGAACGCCCTCCAAGAGTCACTTGCTGATTGGGGGGGCCAGTGATTTCCTTGAGGGCCTGTGTCATATACGTATGGCTTCTGTTTCTCTTTTTCGTTCACCAGTGGGCCCGAGCAAGGGTCTTCGGTCTTCAGCTCGTCCGCCCGAAACAGAAACGCCGTGTGCCGCCGTGTGCCGCTCATGCGAAGACCCACCGCGCCGCCGTTGAGGAAACAAGATGCTGAGAAGATTCAGAGGGCCAACAGGGAGACGATGGATAGGCATCCTCCCTGGAGTCGGGATGTTGCAGCTGGGGGGGAGGATTTGAGTTTTTTTGGATCATAGGGTCGTCCAGTTGTTGGCTCTCGCGGCACAAGACTTCAAGAACTCTTGCTTTGGCAAGAGCCCTGCTGGTCCATGACTGCCGGTCCAAGTAGCTCGGCTCTAGAACTTGAAAGCAAAGGCTAGTGACATGGGTCAGCGAGTGTGGGGTTTTGTGAGATGGATTTGTTAACAGTTGGATTAGCTGTGGAAGAGAAAGATGCTGAGACGTTGATGGGGAAAGAGATGGAACACATCGATGGAAAGCCATGGATTGGGGTTCCCCTCCATATTATGTTGAGAGAGCCCAGGGTGGAGTGGATCACACTTGCCTGGCCAGGGATATCAAAGAAAAGGAGAGGGCTGCTGAGTGGACATGATGTTCCTTTCGTTGCACGTGGGCATGGAACCTAATTCATTATCGACGGATGCTTCTTTGCTTCATTTTGCCGGATGCCCGAAAAAGGCTTTGCCTTTGGTTGGGTCCCCTTTGCGCTTGCTCATGCGGTTGGGGAGATGCGCTTGCTCATGCGTGAGGAGATGGCCTTCAAGCAGCACCAAGAGACCCTGGCGCAGTTGGAGCAGGATGCAGATCGAGAGATCGAGGAGCTCAAGGAGATGCAACCAGGATGAGACACGTCACGGGCGCCCGAGTTGATATGCATGGAAGTGAACAAGGGCACCGGAAAGATCAGGGTCCTCTACAAACAGGGAGGGGTTCCACTTCGATGTTAGACATGTGATGTGTTGGAGTATGCACTCTGACTCACATGGAAGTGGATTCCTTTTTTGGGCTCCTGGAAGACCTATTTGCTTCACTTGAACGGGGGGGGTGGTCCATTCTCTGCTTCTGGTCACGTTTTAGCGGGTCGCGGCGCCTCGCTGGACCCCAGGTACGAGCAGAAGCTCACTCAAGAGAAAGATGACAAGGTGAGATTACGAGGCCAAGCAGGCATCCATCAAAAGTACCATCACGACTTGTACCTGGTCTGCATCAGTCAGATCAGCCCGGGTTGAGAGGAACAATGAGAGGGCTGCGTGAGAGCATTGGCCGGCCCCAAAACTAGAATTCGTGAGAACTCAGAATTTCATGTTCCTTCTCACGGGCTTCTCCTGCACATGTAGCTTTCCCCAGGGCGGGTGATATGATGGAGATGGAGAAGGATGTGAAGGACAAGGCGGAGGAAAGCCGCAAAGCTGAAGAGAGGATCCTGGCCTTGATGAAGGCACGGGGTGTCTCGCTGCTGGATTGACGTGTCCCCCGGCGCCCAAAAGCAACGGATCTCGTGCGTGGGAACCACATGGGGCCACGTGGCGGTCAGGACAAAGACTCCAACGAAAAGGAGATCAAGGAGCGAGATAAGACCATTGCGGACAAGGAGCAGAGGATCTTTGATCTCAAAAAGCAGCCACCTGGTCGCAACGAAGTACGGTAGGTAGGTTTTGTGCCAGTATCTGCTTGGAGATGGCCGCGACTTCACGGAAGTGAAGGTGTGTTCTATCATTGTCCCTTGTTCCCCACACTTCTCCCAAAAGTGACGTAGAACCTCAAGAGAGAGTCACACATTTTGCCGCCCATCTTGAGGCGCTTGAGGTTCAATTTCGTTTGGCCAGGGGATCAAATACCCCTCGTTCACTGGCCCTGTGTTTTTTTTTTTTTTAAGGGTTCCTTTGATGGTCTAGCTTCGCTCAAGGAACCAAGAACTGGAGAAGTTCCGCTTTGCCCGGTGCTCAGCGAAGGGCAAAGGTATGAGAAGATGACGAGTCGTGTTACAGTATAGATGTGAGCATCATTGGTCAAGATGCCAGACCTACTGTGCAGGTCTTGGATTACAAGATCCGCGAGCTGAAGGCTTTTGTTTTAGATGGTGTGAGTTGTTTCTTTTTTTTTCTCACACGGCCTTGGAGAGCTTCCTCTTTACTAGTCTGGATACTTTTGCTTTGTGACCCTACCGGGCCAAGCACGATGTTCGGCGAATCGAGCGGCACCTGCCCTTGACACCGGCATGGAGCTTCATGGTGGCGGTCCCCGGTGATGTCGTCGCCGTGACGGTCCCAGGCGCAGATCGATCCGAAGACGGCGGACATCGCCTCGATGAAGACGCAGACGAGAGCCATGGAGGACGAGCTCAACGATTACAAGCGCCCCTCGGGGCGATCGTGAGAGGTGGGAGATGGAGAGGGTGCGGGGAGAGGGTAGCGGGGGTTCTATGAGAGAAGGTGGATTTGATGATCCTCTCGCACGTGCTCCTGTGGTGTGAGCACTAGTGTTGTGAACACAGGGTGGGTGTTGTTGGACATTCCAAGGTTGGTTGAACAGCCCGCCCTGGTCGTAACTCATGCAGATGACCAGATGACAGATGACCCCTCAAATTTTTGGGTCCCAGGTCGATGTCATGATGTCACGATGGCAGTTGGAATCCTCATGCGTGGCCACTGAGGAAAGAATAAGCAGCTTGTTGAGAGCTCAGAAATGAACGGTCTGAAGGGTGGGCAATTCAGCCATTGGAATCCGTAATGATGCAAGCGTGGGGCCACTAAAAAGAACTTCACAAAAAGACTCTTTGGTGGTTTTTGGACATTTTCGTGTTCGACGGCTAGAAGCAGCATGTGCGTAGGCTTTGCGGATCGGATTGCGGATCGGATGGTGGTGTAAGGCCCTGCAAATCTCCCAACTGCAGATGAAGCAGAGGGCGTTGCAGGAGGAGGGGGCTCTCAGCACTGCGATTCTAGCAGAGCTTGGGAAAAAGCAGCAACTTGTTTTCATGAGGTTCTTGAGGTGATTAGGGACGATGAGGTGGGATGAGCTGGAGTTGAGTACTCTGGTTCCATTTGGTTCCATTTATCGTTTCAGATTGTTTTTCTATCGATGAAGGAGGCAAACCCCTCCCCCGCTTGGATCCGGGCCACTTGCTTTGTCCCGAAGCGGTCCTTTTATGTGCGCATGTAGCGGCCACGCGGCAGCAGGACAGGCGATACCCTGCATTCCCTTACACGATTCTGCATCATCATCTACGTAATCATAATCATAATATACAGTATACAATAACTCTTCTCCATCGTCATCACTAGCATCATTAGCATCAGCATCAACATAATCATAACTAGCATCAGCATCATTAGCATCAGCATCATTAGCATCAGCATCAGCATCAGCATCAGCAACATCTGTACCATCGCTCCTCGTGGAACCTAACTGTATAACCCCGCTCCGATGAGCCTCGGCCTCACCATGGTGTCGCGACCGCTCAGGAGATCAAGTCGCAGAAGAGGAGCCCAGGGTTTGGAGCACGGTCTCGGATCCAGTCGATCTGCTCCAAAAGCTTCCAATGAAAGAAAGACCATCACTGATGTGTTTTTCCTCCTTGAAAGGGCAGGTGTCTAAGGAACTTCCACTCTTTTTTTTCCCGGACACGCCCGAGCTGAAGCATCAATGCAGAAAAGCGGCTGGTGACGTTATTTTTCCGGAAGACAGTGATGCGGAGGAAGCTTCGAGAAGACTTGGCTCTCATCAAACGCTTCAAGCTCGACTTGAGCGACTGTTGGGAGCTGAGGAACAGAGCCAATCCGACCGCGAGATTGGGTACGTATATAGTCTCATCACACACTTCCCCCCCAAAAGCAGTCCAGTCTAGATAAGCCGCTTCCCAACTGCATCCACCTTCGAAAAGCGCCCAACTGCAGCGGTCCTCGTTTCTGGCGTTGTCCTCGTTCTGCGGTTTCCGCAAGTCCTCGTGCTGCGGCTCCGTCGGCGAGGCTTAGAGACCATCTCGGAGCCCAAGGCTCTGAAAGAGAGCGTCACTGCCCTCTATAGGACCCGGCACGCGGGCTACGTGGTGGATCCTGAGCCAGTGAAAGACATGATGGTCCTATTTTCTTGATTGTTTTTTTGGCCCAGATCAGAGGATGGTTCTCTTCCGTCAGGACCCAACCGTTAGGAAGTCTAACCGTTGTAGGAAGTGGCACGAGCCGGCGTTGAGGCAACGGAGAACACAAATGAACAAACACGTACAAAGACCATCTCAGGGAGATTCATAGAATTGCCTTTGTTCAAAGCGGCATGAGCCGTCTCGTCACTCCATGTGCGAATATACAAGGGTGTTTGGACCACTGGCTGGTCAAAGATGTGTGAGATGAAGGGTCAAGCTCTCTCGAAACAAGGCAAGAATGGAGCAAGACAAGAATGTTGCGACCTCCTCGCAACAATCAGAAGGGGAGTCTTGCTTTAGAGACTGAAGAGTGGGAGCCCCAACGGCGTTTGGGCCATGTTCGCACTTAACACGTGGGGAGAGGTTCTCTCTCCCACGTGTCTTGGCAGGAAATATGTCCAGGGCGGTGCCAAAAGGCAAGACCTGGATACCGACATGCAGAAGGAATACAATAGGTGAGGGCTTCGGAAGGATGAGAGAGTGGAGCGGATGGGGGAGGTGTCCCAGAAAAAGCATCCCACAAATGGTGTGGGATGGAGTAGTCCTCAGAGTCGGAGGTCTCTGGGACATCCTTTTGGGACGTCCCACGCTGGACAGCGACGATGAACGAATGATCTGGGATGCCTCAAGTCCCGCCCGTTCAATGACTCTGCCGAAGTCTGCGGTGCAGTCGTCCCTGTGGTGAGTTCCACCGCTCCAGTGAGCTGGGGACGGCAAGAAATGGACAAGTTTGGACATGAAGATAGATTTTGAGGGTGAGGAGTTTGAGATGTTACTTGTCATATACGCTTGTTGGTTGGGGTGAGGGGTAGCTGCTTGGCTGAAGATGCGGGGGTGATGAGGGGTTTTTACCATTTCCAGCGTTTGAGAGTCAGGAGAATGGACATAGCAACACCTGCCGAACCGAAATGACAACAGCGGTGGCTACAATCTCCTTATGCTTTGTGCCTCCGATGGTTGACCATGTTTCACGTCGAGCATCATGGGACCAGAGAAAACAGGGCCCCCAGGCCAGCAACGCGAAGACGAGAGAAGGACAGTCAGGCCAAGCACCCTGTCTGTCTCACCATCGAAAACAGACACCTTCAGTTCAGCGCCTGCCCCTTCACGCTCCTTTGTTACGAACCCCCCCGGCGGCGGGCGTTCGGCGGGCCGCTCCACAAAAGCGGGCGCGCGCGTCAAAGCGCGCCTTCCAAGCGTCTTCCCGCGTTAAATCGCGAGGCAGCGGGACTACTTGGAGAAGTCCGTGGACTCCCTGAAGCGGAAGTTGGAGAAGGACGTGGGCAGTGGCGAGGGCGGCTCTCGGTCACTGGGTGGTGTTCATGGGAGTCTTAGACTGGGTGTGATGCATATCTCAGCACTCTCCGACAGGTCACTAATTGAGACCTCCAGCAGGGCCTCACAACCCTCCATTTCGGAGACCAGCGTCGGGTGGTATATGCCATGGACCCTACATCTCCTAAGAGAGCGAGAGGCGATCCCGGAGCTCCGGTTTCGGCGTCGAGCTCCACGTTCGTCCAGGACAGCCAGGCCCACCGCATCGACAATATGCGCATCATGCAGGACGGGAAGAACACACGGGCGGTCTGGAGTCACATCCCCGGAGGTTAGGGGCCTACAAAGGTTCCCTAGAGAAACTTTTTTGGACAGAGTTTCGCTACCTCTTTTTTTGGCAAAAAATATCATCTTGGAGCTACTGGGCCCCTTTTTGCGGCGCTCCGGACGGCACCGATGGGCGTGCAGATGTGCGAAAGGCGGTGAGTTGGCGGTTCGAGTTCTGCTGCGCCGACCCTCCGAGGAGAACGTCTCGTTGATCCGAGAGATCAACGACCTCCGGCGGGAGATCAATGCGCTGAAGCACGAGCGGCAAGCGCAGGACGACCGGACGAGCACGTGCGAGCAGCCGCGGTGGGGTGCCGGTGTTGGTGTAGCTTCCAGGCGCGGTGGGTGTGGAATCCAGTTGGTCTGGCTGGTTCCAAGCATCCCTGGTCCACCATGTGGGTCAACCGGTTGGTCTCACCACAACCAAGTGGCCCGGAGCTTTGGAGCGACTTACCGGAAAAGGGGGGGGCTTTGCACCTGATTATTGATGATGAGAATCCACCTGAGGCTGGGGCGCAAAGGGTCGTAAATGCTGCAAGTGGGGCAGGATCATGGTCCAACAGTTGGATACTGTAACAGAGCACTTCGCTTGCGAAGGCTTATCCAGATCCTTTTCTCCTTTCCCGTCCTTCCCTTCCAGTTCTTACATCTTCTTACCTCCTTTTCCATCAACTCATTCCTGGTCTCTTTGCGATTAAGCATATTGCGAAACGCTTCACAGGATGTGATTTCGCACCGCAGGAGCTGGCGAACATGGGGCAGAGCCTCCAGGGCAACCGCAACGACCTAGAACGCCTGGGGGGCCTAGCAGGAGCGGAAGAACGGGGGCGTTCGGAAGACGGTGCATCTAAGGGGGTTTTGGAGCTTTTCATGGATGTTTGTCTCATTTCCTCGAATCCCTGGGATGTTCTTTTCATGAGCCAAGGCTGTTCGTGCACCTGGGGTGAATGTTGGATTAAACATTCATGTTCCTGTAACACCTCTCGGAGCCTTCAGGGTGCGCTGCCCAACGTGCTCTCTTCGCCTGCCAGTCGCTGCGCCGAACACCTCGGAATCCATGACTCGACTCGATGGCCCCGTTGTAAAACAAGCCGACCTTGGTGGGCCAAATGCAAGAGGGTAGGGGATTTTCCCTTCAAGGGCGGCCCCTAGAGTTAAGTTCCTTCGTCAGTTCCACCCATGTGGATTTTGCTCGATGCCCCATGTTTTTCAATGCGCGTGCAGCCGAGGTGAATTGGAAGAGCAGAAGGAAGAGATCGAGGAGCCGGGGTGCATCCAAGGGACGCTTCTCCGTGGTCGTGGCTGGCAAAACGGCTAAAGCGGCTAAAGCCCACTGTTGAGGATGTCCTCCTTGTCCTCCCCAACACCAGTTTTGTAGTTCTGAAGGCTTTCCAAGGCAGTTGCTGAACCTCCACTTGTCATCATCACTTCCACAGTGCCAGCTGCCGTGCTCATAGGAGCTCACCAGACAATTGAAAGATCTGGAGCAGTAGGCGTGGTGTTTTCGCCCACCCGCCGGGGCGATGGGATGGAACGTGCAGTTGTGGCGTGAGCTTCTCATGAAATCAAAGTACATCCAAGCCCGTGGACAGGGGGGACCCTAGATACGTACCTGTGCCATGCAGACATGATCTATGTAAGGTGCTTCTTGGGATTTCTTCCTTCCTTCAGTCCATACTTGATGCCGAGCCGCAGCGGAGTTGTAGCCAGCAGGTAGGGTTCTACCTTCAAAGATCACAGCCCGACCTTCCCCGACTCAAAGCATAGCAGCGACCTTTGGAGGGACTAAGTCAACATGAGAACCACTAAGTCTGAAGACTTTCGGAATGGCATCCCATATCGGGTCAAAGCCTGGAGCCCCGAACACCTTGTAGCTTGACTTCCGGGTAGGTCAACCAAGGTCTCCCGGTCTTGATCCCCTCTAATGAATCAATACTTTCCTTGCCTCTCTGGCAGCTCACGGGAGCAAACATCATGCAAGCCTGGCAGGTAGCTAGTCGCGTGGCCATCTGAGTTTCAGCCAGCTGGGCTAAATTTGCCCACGTGATGCAAGCCTTCAATGAGGTTTTGCTCATGAACCTGTGGGTCTCCACCCACGCGTTTCACACGCACGCCTCAGTCGCGTTTCACCCGCCCCGCCTTTTAATCGCGGATCGGCCCCCTCTCGCCCGAAACCATCCATTGCTGGCCCAGCAGGACCATATGTATTCAAAGATGCTGGCAGGTGAAAAAAGGAATGTCCATCACATGGCACAGGCAACTCACTGAACTTGGTGAGTTGGACTCATCTAATTTGATAGAATCATCCGGTGAAACTGGAAGCTGGAAGGATTTTGGGGTCAGTAACGCTTAATGCTGGGAACCGTGGCGGGTTCACGCCTTGGGGTGGTTTAGCGGTGTGCCGCGGGAGAGGGGGCCAGCCCTGCGCTTAAACACGGGGAAAAGAGAGGGTGCTGAAGTGCTCTTCCGGTGGATTGGGTGACGGCGGGTTGGACCATTTTGCACCTGGATCGGGGATTGTGGGAGTTGTTCGCTCAAAATCCCAGAAATCGCACCTGATTCGGGCAGTCCTTCGTACATGTTCTGGAAATTGGGGTAGGGTGATGTCGGTCAGTGATGTCGGACCTACCTCCTTGCAGCGCCATTGCACCCTACGGACGCTTCAAACTTCGATCTCATGAACAGGTCTCTAAAAACACGAGGAGTGGTTCTACATCTCCCTTCTCAGGTGTCTTTCTGTTTCTTTTTGCGCGGGGAATCATTTCAACAAAAGAGCTCTTCACTGCGAATGAGTTTGGCCTCTTCTTCGGCCCCTTCGGCCGGTGACCTATGTGAGGCCTCTTCAAGTCTTACAAGGGCGGGGCTCGACAGGCATGGGAGGCCGGGCGTGAAGCGTTCACGAGGTCATAGGAGAACCTTTAGACCAAGTGGATCCAAACGGGGCAGTGTGGCCGCTGTGGCAGCCGATTCGGCTGAAGGTGTGTGGCCTGTGTGGCTGATTTGGTCATGTTGCGGTTCAGAGTTCACAAGCCTGGTTCTTCAAAGTGACCTTTTCATCCCTGGGCTTGAGGTCACGAACAGGCCCGTAAAAGGTCACGTAGAGACTCCAGAAAGGTCACTTTTGAAGAAGCTGGAGGAGGTTCACAAGTAGGGGCAGTAGGGGTCCAAAACCGGAGCCCGGTTGACCCTTGTACGAAATAGGTGTTTTTTCACTGAGATCGAGCCCGGTTGACCCTCAGAGGTTGATCTCCCTGGTGGTCTATTCGGATCTATTCGGTGAATGTTCTTTTGTCCACCAGGCGCCGCCGGTAATTTACAGGCTGGCACTTCCTGAAGTGATTCGCCGGCTGTGTGACGAAGTGGCCCCCATGTCTGAAATTCCAACGACCTCGTGGCATGTATCGACTCGTAAGAGGACGACCTAACGATTCTCCCAGTCACTGACGAGTGAGGTTGTTTGCAGTGCGTCTCGTTTTGGCAGATGGCATCTTCAAAGAAGAGGAATTCCTGGTTCAAGCAATTCTTTGCTCCACCCAAACCGATGCTTTGCGTGTCGACCCCACGTTGCCCGATGATGATGGTGCATGAAAACGACCTCCACTCCACCATTTTCTCCAGCCCCGGGCAGGGTTGTCCGTCTCTCCGAACGATGTTTGTCCCGACAGCTTGGGGCAGGAGGTGCCCAAAGCATGGGCCTCGCGGATGAACTACGCGGAGCCGCTCGGTGTGTGAGTTGAGCACGTGGCAGCCCACGTGGGGTCCAGATGAGGTCCATCCGAACAGGTCTCCACGGGGCCGGGCCAATCCCTTTGTAAGTTGGCCAGGGTGGCCACAGGTGGCCAAGGTGGCTGCTTCGGCACTTCCTTGGAGACTTCTTGAACATGTTCTAGGTTTGTTTGACCAGTTTTCAAGACAAACGTTTCTATCCGCGGAATGACCCGTTCTTGTTTTGGACGAGCCAAGGAGGGAAGCGCCGAAGGCGGTTTCTCTCTTCTCTCTCCCCGTCGGTGCGAGATCGCAGCTGGAGAAGCGAACCGATCCCAGGTTTGTACAATGGATGGAGGAGCAGGCAGGGCCATGGAAAGACTTATATAATGAAGACATATGAAGACGCTTTGAGACTTAGAATCTGAACAATCTGAACATATCTGAACAGTTTCCGAAGAGACACGGGGTGGATTGAACATGAGCAGGGGGGCTCGACGCGATTCAATGTCTTGTACAGTACAGTCACCGTCACGAACATTTGATCTTTGACAATGCCATTGGGTACGGTGGAGCAGGCCAGTGATGACAAATACAAGATGCACCTTCAAACATAGGCTCAGCAACAACGATCCCGAGAAAGCCTCCAGGGACATCTTCAGCGTCTCAAAACTGTTGGAGACATCTTTGTATGCGATTTGTGTGACATGCTTTCGTTGATGGAAAGGACACATATATGATATGTGCTCCCCGAAGCAGACCTCCTTCGCCGCCCTTCGGAGCCTCGAGACCCTCCATCAAGAGCCATTAGCTTCCCACTCGTCCACCCGGAAGCTGTGGGTCCCGAAGATCACCCAAACATCATCGCCCCCCAAAAACACAAAGCAATTCAGCTTGGGCTCGCCTCCATCTAGCTCCTATTGCAGTCCACCCCATCCAGGCCATTACGCGGCCGAGGGGCTTTGCGGTCTCGGAACGGTGCCTCTTCGATGCTGGGGGCGCTCAGGACTCGGACTCTTGCGTTTGGATGGGTGTCGGCAATACCAGGAGTGGAGATGATGTGGAAGAAGATCCAGGTGAGGATTGGATGATCCACCCGAAGTTGTGAAGGGCCCAAAAAGCAGCGGGGGAAGCCATTCTTTGCAGTCATAGGCGTGGATACAGGGTGCCAACACTTGACTAGGGTACTCCTTGATGAAATGTTATGATTCCATGATTTACCACATGGTCACATCATTTTACTTTCCCGCTTTTGTATGCTTTTGTTTGGATTGGGTGGAGGTGCCTGATTAGACCAAGACAAGGTGGCTGACCAAATTCGGCAAAAAACCGCTTTGCTTCCAAGGCCTTAGACATCAAGGGTGTGGGCACCGTCACCGTTGAGGTGCCCCGCACCGTCGCCGGAATCCAGCGAATTCGGCTGGCACATCTTCGCAGAATGGTCATGACTGCGCTGAAAAAACAAAGGCCATGCAGTGGTTTTGAGTTTAAGAAGCAGTTTGTCCCTGCAAACTGCTTGTTGCTTCAGCTCCTGACCATTCGCGATTGTTGTTGACCATGAGCCAATCAGCTTGAAGCCAAAAACTGTCCAGAAAAGAACAAAGAGTCTACAGTTGAAATGCCGCCTTTCTCATTTCGAGGACCCAGAAATGATCCTACTTAGATGAACATGACCCCACCGGGCCTGTTCTCTTCACAGCCACACCCCAGTTGGGGTCAAACCCTATTGGTCCAAGACCGTGGGCCTCGAACCTTCGAAAGAATTGGTTCAGAACC